GAGAAAATATTACCGGGATGAAAGTGCTTTGTGTGACGTCGTTTTAAGGACCTAATAGATACTGTACCATTGACGTGCTTTGAATTACTTCTAATTTTCAGTTTTCTACGCAAGGGAGAAAATGCAACTGGGAGAAATTGCAACTTTTCTACCAAAAACTACGTATTTAACAAGTAAGGGACTAAATTTGTACTTTAATGCAAATTAGTACTACTACTAGTACTACTACTGATACTACTACTAGGACCTCCTACTTATACCAGTAGTTTCAGCATAAAAATTGTATAACCCATCTACCCACTGAACCCAACATGTTCATTAGGATGTTAAGATAAATTCTACCGAAAACTAGGTCTTGATCTGATCTTCAGTTGCTATTTTACACTACAATTACATTTGCTCTGTAGATTGGGCAGTTTATTGCATGCATTTAACACGTAAGGGACTAAATTTGTACTTAAATGCAAATTTGCATTTTCTCCCTTGCGTAGTTTTCTTGTTCGCCATAATTTGGAGTTGCATGTTGCCGTTGGCGACCAAGTTAAACTACAGTACTATCTTACTCGCAATGCTTAAAATCTATGCCTGCATCGTTCACGTCCCATCGTACGGTAGGAGAATTGTTTTGATAGAAGTAATGCAGTACGATATTGTATTGTACTTCCTTTACCTACTAGGACTATTAATGGTAAGTCCCTTAGTCGCAAGTTATTGGCAATTCCCGGGGTGTCAATTTTTTCTCATTTTCCCGTCTTTATTTCCCCGCTCCCCCCCCCTCCACACAAAAAACTACCAAGTCCTAAAATATTTCTATTAGTGCTCCTTACTACTGGGGATATAAAATCAGTGGTTACTACTTKAGAATTAATATTAGTGCTTACTACTGGATCACCTCCATTACTACTTACTAGTTGGGATGCCATAGTAGTGAAAACTGCAAACTGCTGGGTAAGGGGGTTCTGTTGGTGCTGCTCTCCTCTCGCTCTCCTCTCGCAGCATCAACAGAACCCCCTTACCCAGCAGTTTGCAGTTTTCACTACTATGGCATCCCAACTAGTAAGTAGTAATGGAGGTGATCCAGTAGTAAGCACTAATATTAATTCTCAAGTAGTAACCACTGATTTTATATCCCCAGTAGTAAGGAGCACTAATAGAAATATTTTAGGACCAGCGAGAAATTAAACAATGGAAATATTTTTATTTTCGTCCCTTGGATGCCATTTTTAACTGGTTTTAACTGTAAAAATGAGCTAAAAATTTCTATTAGTATTTGTACGGGGATTGCCAATAACTTGCGACGAAGGGACTTACCATTAATAGCTCTATTACCTACTGTATTGTATTTTTGTTTTTTGTGTGTGACTTCACGGTATCGACACTTCCTTCAAAAGAACAAAATCTCGAACAAAAACCACCGTGTTGCAATGAATATCGGTAGAAGACCTGCACTCGAACGGAAGTACCCCGAAATCACGACAACGCAGCTACAGCAAAACTAGAAACAAATTTAATGCCACTTTGAAAGAAGGTTTTATTTACAACATGGAACACCAAGAAGGGGATGATGTCTCGTCAACCGCAGAAATAATTCTTGCGGATCTTTGCAAGAAAGAAACCGAGGCCGCCGAATTGAAAGAGGCACTGAAAAACTTGCTGGACAGCCATGTCCGTACAAAGAGAAGGCATGCCAAAGAATTATCCGAGGTCCACAAACAATATTCAAAACGTTTGGTCCAATTGGAAATCGATTTGGAAACACACGACATACATTTTACAAACTATGCAAAGGATCAGATGGGATTGGAAACAAAAGCGATTCTCGAGGACAAAAAAGAATGTGCCTGGAAGAAACCGAAATCGGATATTTTGGCGCAGCAGAACCTGATAGCGAAGCTGATTGCAGAGAATGCCGACCTGGAACACCGATACAAAAGAGATTGCACGGGGCATAACGATAGGATACTAGAATTGGAAAACGAGAACCGATGGCTCCGTCGATCCCTGCGACGCAGGGTCGATTCCAGCAGCAGCACCGGTGATGCCGAATCCGCCGGGGGGCAGCTGGCACTGGAAACCGATAGTAATTGCAGCCTTGTTGTCGAAAAATACGAAAAACAGAACACGGAATTGTTGCGCAGTGTAGATGAACTGAAGGAGAAAATCCGTAGCCTGGAACTGAAGCACGTTCTCGCTGGCGGTCCTACCAACACAAAGGAGGAGAACGGCAAAGAATTGTCGTGCAATGACAAAGATGAAAAATTGAAGGATTGCAAGATAGCATTGTTGAAATCGAAAGCCATTGCGTACCAAGCGCGAAACATTTGGCCTCCGGATACGGAGTGCAGCGCGCCGCCAGAATCGCTATCGTCGTCTTCGACGGCAATCAAAGATTTGAAGGAGCAAATACAAGAGCTCGAGAACATTCTCATTAGGAAAGACAAACAGTTGAGATCGCAATCAAAAAGATATCGGAAAACAAGAGTTTAATTTTAAACAATACATATTTTGTTTACCTGGTTTCGCCAGAGTTTGTTCAACATGACAATGACAATTAATGAAGCCTATATCTATTGATGGCGGTGTAAATTGATTTCTGTGTTATTGATTTTACTCATAATCCATTGGAGTCGAAAATGGTATACTATAGTATTGCATTGCGACGCTTGCAATTCGAGACTTGCCGAATACCTAATATGATCGAAACGAATTGGTTGATCTATCCCCCTCCCCTTCCCCGCTGTGTCCCCTTAGTCGCGTGGCGATTGACAGAGTCTGCTCCGCCCTCCCTCACCCCCACAGACCATCACCCTGTCGCGCCTTGCTAGAGGTGCCTCGATGGTCCCTCGAGGGTGTCCAAGGGCGTTTCTGCGACGGTCGCGAGCTTCTGGTTGGTGGCCGAGAAAAATTCCGACAGGTTCTTGTTGTGCCTCGGGAAAGTCAGCTTGCACGGAGAGAGCGCATCCGTGCCCCCCCGGAGAGAAACTTCCGGCATGCCCTTTCGTCTCATCGTCGCGGATTGGTCCCGGGGAACCAACAAATCGGGAGCGAGCTTGATAGACGTGATCTGCAGAACCTCTTTCTTCGACTGCAGCTCGGCGGGAAGCTCGATCGGCTGGTGGCTAAAGGTCCGCGTGCGGGTTAGATTCTTCGGTTCGACCTTCTGGTCCTTGGTTCTATCCTCGGGCATTCTCTTGCTCCTCGTTGATTTGGTATCTCCGGACTTGCTCCTGGATCTGTAGTGTTCTCGGGTGCTTTTGGATCCGCTGCTGCGTTCGCTGCTGGTCCCTCTCGATGCTGCTTTCAATTCCTTTTTTAGATCGCGTTCGCGTTTTTTTTGCTTGCGGATTTCCGCCGTCAGTTCATCGATCTTGTCGTTCTTCGATTGCATGCACTCGGCGAACTGGACGAGTTCTTCTTCCAGGCGGTGTAGCACCCCGCGGCTTATCACCAGCGTGTCGTCTGTGTTTGATCTGGTATCCTTGTGGCAATGGTCTCCTAAACTTGGCAAAGACCCGTTCTTTATATCGGGGTTTTGGTTCATCAGTTCTTGCTTTGCTCGTTCCTCCAACTCTTTCAGTTGGTTGGTCAATGTTTCCTCCACCTTTCCAAGTTCGATAAGCGCATTGTCTTCGATTTCTTCTATAGTGTCTATCGTCTTTTCGTCGACCGAGGAACACTCCTGATGGCCTTCGTTCACTGTGACACCCGATTTAAGGCTCTCGGACTTGTTTCTGAGCTTCAGCTCGATTAGCGAGATCGAAAGCTTGACCTGCTCGCTTATGAGCGAGGCGGATTGGAGGATCGACATCATGGTTTCTCTCTCCTTGTTTTCACCGCCGGCGTCGTCGTTCGGATCGAAGCTCTTCACAATCCCTTCCATGTTGGATATGGAGGCATTCGTGGACTCCAGGACGGTTTTCATCTTGCAGATCGACGAGTCGATTCGGTGCCTCTCTTTCCACACGAGCTCGCCCGACCTGCCCGAGTCGTTTCCGCCGCCGTATCCCGCGCACGCACCCTCCGAGTCGTGCGAGGCGACCTCGAGGATCCGGTGCAGCTCGGCCCCCCCGGGCCGGTGGTGCTGGTGGTTCGAAAACGATTCGTCCGCGTGGCTCTCCGACCGGCTCTTGGACGAGACCCCGTGCACGCACCAGGACGCATCGCTGTAGGTGCCCGAGAAACTCGTCGCGTCCGCCGTGCACAGCGAGGCCTGCTGGCCCCTCCGCAGGGCGTCGATGGTTTCGTCCCTGTCCTGGAGCTCGAGCGCGAATTCCAGTTGTCTTCGTTGCCGTTCGGTGTCGAGATCCGAGAGCTTGTTGAGCAGATCGAGCTCCACCCTGGTTCGGTCTTCCATGATGTTGGCTATTTCTTCCTTTAGGGACTTGATGACCAGTGCGGACGAGCTTTCGATCGTAGCCATTTGCCGTTCCATCACCCCGAAACCGGCTTCGCTCTTTCGCAGTCTCTCGCGCAACTCGGCAATCAAGATGTCTTTCTCGTCCCAATCGCTACCAATGGTCAGATCGTCTTCATCGCTCGTTGATGCATCTCCTGCGCCGAGCTTTCGAAATTCTTTCTTCATCTCTGCCAGGCGCTTTTCGGCGTTTTTCTTTTGTCGCCGGGTAGTGTCCAGTTGCAATCGAAGCCAGTATATGCCTTCCTTGTGCTGTACATTGTGGTCGTTGTGTTCTTTCTCCAACTCCTCCAACCGACGCTCTTTTTCCGTGTTTGCTTCCGTTAAAATCGTTAGTTTGTTTCGATAAACCTGCAACAGGTTTTCGTCGAGGTGGTTGCTCGCGATTTTTCCATCGATCGGTTTTGCTGCGTCCGGCGTTTGTGTTTGCCTCTGTTTGCTTTCCCCCTCGCTACACTGATCGGGCTCGCTTTTGTTTTTCGCGTCTTCGGTCTCGCTCGTGGCCTGGGAAAGATAGACATGGGCGAGGTGGACACCGTCGGAACTCATTATGTCCTCGTCCATGGCGTCGATCGAATTCCGGTGAAACAGTTCTCTAGTGGCTTCGGGGAGAAACTCAAAGACGAGGGAATCACGGGAGGAATGGCAGGAACTTTTCATGGGTAAACGGTTAGAATTTGGAGAAGCTCTCCAAGCTTTCATACTCTTACTATCATCCGAAGTGCTGCTGCGTGTGTATTGGGTACGCGTGTATTCGCTATTGAGCCTACTAGAACACTCCTCCCGGCTGTTCCTTTTGAATTTCGGTGGTACGGTTTTTCGAGGTTTTTGTTTGATAAGAGTCAACCCTCAGAAAAACTCAGAGCAATAAGATTGGAAATGATCATGACAATTTCCATCTCGAACTTTTTATTTAAGGTATTCTATTGAATGTATGAGCCACCATTATTGATATATATTAAGAAATTAATGTCATGATATTTTCTATTTGAGATTTAAGAAAATGCTCGTCGTGTTCAATGAATTTCATCTGTAAATATCGATGATCAGCAACGTTCCGAACCCCCAATTCTCTTTTCGTACTTATCATTTCAATGAGATCAATGGTTCCAATGAATTCATCTTCTTCGTCGTTTTGAAGTGCATAAATTCAGGAAGGCATATAAGAAAAATTATTGTTGTCGCTTCCATTATCAATATGTTCTTTCTTTTCGGCGATTGATAAGTCGATGTGATATTTTATTTTTCGACGAACATCGACGGGTCTTTTGGTCGCGAAGAGGGTTCAGTGGATATACACTCAGTTTGCTACATTACAGGCCCCAGGACATCATTTGCAATAGTGGTACATTCCCGAAAACAAACCCACAAGACCGTTGCGTTACGGTACTGCGTGTGATTCCCACCAATAACAAAGGCTGATTCCCGTTATTCTTCTGAGGAGGCTGTCACGAATAGCTAGTGAATGACCTTCAGCATTTCACAAGAAAGTCAAGGCTGACCCTAATTCTTCTTAGATTAACAACTACTGCCTCCGTCCCACAATAATGGTACACTTTGCAGTACTTGCAATGGATACGTACGTACTGTATCGGAAGTATACGTACGGTACGAAGCTTCGAAGAAAGGAATGAAGGAACATACCTTTCCTACGTACGTGCCTTAAGGTATCCTTCTTATGTATATATCATAGGATCCATCGTAAGAGGTGCGAGGATCATAAGAGGTCCAAGATATCTAGAGTTAGAATATCTTACGAAGAACATAGACGTCACGAGTTCCGAATAGTAAGAACTCAGTGTAGATTGAGTACCAGATCTACACGAGGAGCTAATCGGAACTTCGGAAATCTCACGTCAAGGTTCGATAATCTTAATCATAATTTCAATTTTTATACACTAAAACATGCTAAGAGTACACGTAACTCGTGCACAGTAATTACTGTGAATACTGGGCTTCTTACTAGTACTAGTAATAATTTTTGGCTCTATCCCTTCAGTAAAATTACTTTTTTTCAAGTAGAGCGCGGTAGGATTCTTACGGTTAACGCATTTTATTACCGATATACTGGTACGACTACCGTACAAAAAAGAGCTGAACAATGAGACCTGATGCTTTATTTTTAAAACTGGCACCGAACTGAAAACGAATGTGCAAAAGCTTTCGTCGCGCGTTGCAATTAAGTACAGTACTTATGATGCAAAAAGAGAGGTACCGTAAAGTACTTCCGAAGTAAGAGATTCTTTGGCACACCAGAGTCTATTTATAAATACGTGGTGAGAGATGCAAGAACAACGAAAAACGCACACACCTCAACAATTATGACCCCCAATCACTCATTCGTCGTTATCCTTTTAGTTTTAATTAAAGAATATGTAAAATACATAACATATTTTATATAAGGTCGAGGGGAAGCTAGAGCCCAGTGAACATTTGTTTCCTAACAGTACAGCAGGCTTATTGATTGTGAAGTAGAAGTAGAACTTATACTAAGTACTGTAGTTGTGAACAGAACGATACGATAAAAGATGAAATAAAGGAACAGAATGAATCGCATCTGGATGATAGAAGAGTAGTTGGTGTTACAGATGGAGGAGATTAGTAACTGGGAAGGCCATTTCATCGTTTCGAGTGTTGTAGAAATTTCTTATTCGCAGAAGGGAAGAGAACAACAAAGACTACAGCTGCAGTTTGTGTTCCCGAACGACATATTGCTGGCTGCTCGCGATTGTTGGAAAAACGCTGGCAAGGGGTGACAGGCGTTGATACATTGACCAGCATGCAATCAAATTCTTTTGTTGACAACGATCCCGCTGTTCTTGGTAAAATTGACGAGCTTTGGGCAAAAGAATTGTACGAAATAAATGTTCATGAGCGCGAAGTAATCAATGATGAACTACATGGTGTGTCGGTTTCGTTTCATCCCAATCCAGAACAAAATTGGACGGAAAAGCAATATGACTATTATATGCGTATGTTCCAGGCAGAAATCGACACCAACATCCCGACCGAGGACAAAGAGGCCTATAAACTAGGATTAGATTTAGGGAGCTCATACATTGTGAGTCTTGAGTTTCGATTTCGGTTTATTCGGGCTGAACAATACGACATCCAAAATGCTGCAATACGGTATTGCAATTGCCTTTCTTTTTTGTTCGAGGTATTCGGGGAAAAATCACTCTTGAGACCTTTGCTAATAAACGACTTGACAAAAAACGAAATGAAATTTCTTAAGGAAGGTTACATACAAATTTTACCTTCCCGAGATCGAATAGGGAGAAGAATTTTAGCTCAGTTGGGATCTTATGGCGGATCTAGATATACGGAATTCGAAAAGTTTCGAGTCAGTATCTACTTATGCTTCTCGGTACTATCGGAAGATGTTACATCTCAACATCGTGGAGTAGTGTCACTGGGATCCTTCACGATTGAGGCGGAGAGTTTTATGTGGAAAGAGTTACGGGTAATTTCAAAGCTCATCAAACGGTTCTTCGCAGCAGTTCCTTTGCGTTGGTCGGCGACTCATCTCTGTATTCCTGACGACCCGGTGTACCATCTGGTCAAATCCTGCACTCTTTTCTTTCTAGGGAAGAATGGAAGGAGAATACTGAGAATACATGTTGGCACACCTATGGAATGTGATTACAAACTTCGTTGCTTTGGAATTCCCACCGAAGACATTCCAAGAACTTGCACACATAAAATCAAATTAAAAAACCACAACAGGCTAATCGTTGTACGAAAAGCAATAGATCAATTTCGTGAGCAAAGCATGAGACCGAATAATGTTGTGAATATGTCTTTCCCAGGCGTCGAGTGCCCAGAAATCAATTGCGTTCTTTTTGGGAAATGCGCATACAGTTATCCGGGGAATATCGAATTCAGGGGCTTTCTTCGAGAAATACATACGAAACACAGAAAAGTCGATTTAGAAAACCAAGGCATGATATATGACATTACACAGAGAGTTATTGAGGAACTACCCTCTCAAAATTTTCGATTCATGATGTATGACAGAAATACTCTATTCTATAATGAAGTGACAAATTACGAGGAAATTTGGAAACTCGTAGAACTATCGGTAAGGGATTATCGAAAGCGAAGCAGAGCCAGGGCGATGACAAACGAGGCAAGACTCTCGATATCAAAAATTATTGACAAAAGCGGGAGCGAGGACGAAACAGGCATGAATGTAACCCATCGTAGCAGTTGCGCGTGTCTCAAGGGAGAATATCGAAGTACCGCGTGGGATGCATCGAGAAAAAAAAGATGAGCTCGGACTTGCATGACAGCTCCTTTTGTGCATTCGCTGCTCTGCAAAGGTACAGTATCAAGGCAAGAGTTCTTGAGAACACCTAAAAAAAATGTTATCCGTATACATCCGTGGGATCATTCGGATGATTGACGACATTTATTTTGAAACACTTGTCACGATGGTTTTGGCTGTTCCGTATGTTTGTGCTCGGAACAGATCTAATATATGCAGAATTTTGGTAGATTTTTATTTTACGGTACTCCTTAACTAACGTGTAGAGTTTGCGTTTTGATTTACGAGGGTCAATGAACACAACTAGTACCTTAGACTCAATGGTATCCGTCGACGCGTCCGAAATGACCAGCAGTTCGGAATCGATGAAGGTAACTGAATGCCTCTTTCTCGATTGGAGTTGCGGTAATTCCAATATCTTCCATGGTAAGAATTTTTCCTTCCTCTGGCTGGTTCCTGTATTCTTCTTGTGTCATGGGTGGGACGATATCTCTGCTCCATAACTTTGCCATGTCTTCGTTGAACGACACAAAGGATTGGTAGCCCAACGCCTTCGCCATCATGATATACTGCTTCTCCGGAATGTGCATGATCTTCTTGTCTTGTTCCGTGAGGTCCAAAACAAACTTTCCGAGTTCCTCGTAGGTATAATCGGAGGGACCGAAGCAATCGACGGTGCGGCCCTGGAATTTCTCGGGAGCGTCGGTGATGCGAGAAATCGTCTTTGCAACATCGGGGGCCCAGACGGGTTGCGTCAGTACCGAACCATCCCCGCAGACCGGAATGAAGCCGTACATCTTCGACATGTTTGCAAAATAGTGGAGAAATTTGTCCTCGCTTCCGAACAACTGGGTCGGGCGGACGATCGTGGCCCACGGGTAGGTTTCGCGTACGGCTTGTTCCCCGGCCCACTTGGTGCGGGCCCACTCCGAGGGGTGGTCCTCGGAAATGCCCAGGGCGGATACGTGGATGAGGTTATCGACCTGCATCTCTACGCAGAGTTCCGCGATTTGTTTCGCGATTCTGACGTTGACATCCTCGAGGGAATGGTTGGTTTGCCAACCGATAAAAGGGAATTTGTCGGTTTGGACCGGTTGTCCCGACGCATAGGTTTTTGAGATCAGGTTGATGACAATGTCTGCATCCCCAATGACTTCCCTCATGGAGTCGACGTCGTTTGGGCTGTAAAATACGAACCGGGTGTGTCCCAAATCGAACATCGGTTTCAGTTCTCGGTGTTCGGCCTCGTCACCTCGGTTTCCGATGTATGCGTAGGCACCATTGTGCCCTGGAACGCATGAAAGGTCAACAGCAGAGGCCCAAGATGGAAGACAACACGCGACGAAGTTTCGAATTTTAGTAGAATCGCAGAACCAAAACAAACAAAATTGGCATGACACCATTTCAAGTTAGGGACAGTTGGCATCAAAAAGTACCGTGCGAAAACTTCCTATCGTACGCCGACAGTTGATATCCCCCGATCCATTAGAGAGTATAAATCTCTCGAAATCGAGAGGGATCCGAAACGAAAATTCGCCAGCGTGCTGTTTGTCAATCAATCAATCAATCTGTCTATCTGTCTGTCTGTCTATTGATTGGATTCCACGAGTGGTGCGTGTGACGCAACCGTGCGGGACGAGAGAGACGATACGTACCGAGCTGGTGGCAAAGGTGCTTGCCGATGAATCCCGTGGCACCAAAAATGGCGACCCTCAGATCGGCGTTGGACTGGCGACCACCCGGTCCGCCCTCGTTCAGTCTCCGGTCGGTGATTTTGGGCAGGAAGAGATCCGGCTTGTCGTCCCCGGGCGGCGTGGCGCCGAGGCTGGTGGTCGACCCGAAGGCCCGGCGGTGGGCAGCGGGAGAACAACGGGCACCTCGCTGCGCGAGACGAGCGGCGGCGGTTCGTCCCAACATCTTGGTGGATTTTCGTGGTGCAATGCAAGCTTGCCCTTGTGTTCGATGCTTTGGTTGCTTGGGTGTATCGTTTCCCTGTGCAGAAGCAGAGTCGGCTCTCTCCGATCGAAACTAACACCGCTTGTACCGTTCTGTACTCTGTTGGCTAGTTCCACAACAGGGAGCTTCAGCCGATACAGACAGCAAACGATGCAACCTACCGTACCGTACGGTACTGAAATACGGTAGAAGTACAAGACAAGCGGTTTGCCCTAAAGTATTGTACGTATGTTACGGCATCCGTACACGTTGCTGATGTGCTTCGCTGAAGGTCTCCTGTTTCTGTACGTGCCCTGCAGTAAGTAGGTGGGCTCAAGAGGGGTTGCCCTTCCTTGGCATAGTATCGTACCGTACCGTACCCTGCCAGGTACTCGTACCGCACAGAACGATGGACGTTGCGAATTCGACGACTCGAACATCCCCTGCTCGCTATGAAGCTTACGGTACGTACCTCCTCACTGTAATCTTAAGCTGAATGAAGTCCGGAAGCGGGGGGGCTTCGAGAATTTATGACTTTTTATTTTCAATGGTACGTACGTAGCGTGGTTTTTGTCTCGGTAGGTTGACTCATGTATTACTCTTCATACTTGCGTACCATACTACATACCGTACGTACCTTGTGATCGATGCTTCTTCCACCCGCCACCAAGAATCAACGAAGAAATCTCGAAATCCAATCCAAACGAAACGATTCACAACGATCCTCTCCCATCAAAAGATCGGTCGAAGCTCCAAGCCGAGGCAGAACACGCAGAACAAACACAACGGATCCCGAACCATTGCTGCGTATCCAGTACACTCGTGCTTGTTACGTTTAGATAGCCAAAAGGGCAAGCAAAGAGCAAAGAGCAACGGAACGCAGGGCAAGCAGCGCAGCGCAGGGCCCAGAGAGCATGCCCCTTTTGTTCCGGCAGCGAGCGAGCCAAAACTCGTTGCCCCGAATCACGCCGTCGGTCGCTGCTCTTGTTGCATACGGCCTCTGTTGCACGGTGCTCGTCGCGCTGCTTGCCGGCGCCCGATCGTTTGCACCGAGGGAGGCCTTTTCCACCGCTGCTTCGAAAAGAACCTCCCCGGTCCCCATGTCGCCGTCTTCCCCCGCGACCGAATCCGTGCGCTGGAGGCCCCTGGGGCCGGAGCTCTTTCCGAGCCCCGTGTCCCCGGACGACGGGTGCCGGTACGCCAAGGACGAGGCCTACCTGGGGGCGGTGCTGGGCTCGTGGAAGACGAACCCGGCGGGCCCAAGGGCGGAAACCTCGCCGTGGGTCTACCGCGACCAAGACGGGACGGCCCTCTACGGCCACGCCGTCCGGCCGATCGAGCGAACCGCTTCCACCGGGGCCCCCCGGCCCGGAATCCTCCTCTTCCACACCGCGGCCGGCCCGCAGGACGTCTTTTTGTTCCAAAAGGCGGAGCAGCTGGCGGTGTCCGGCGACCTCGGGCCGGACGGCTGCGTCGTCCTCGTCTGCGACCTCCTGTCCGACCCCGACGGCTGGGCCTGGACCCCGGGCGGGGACCGCACCCGGTTCGACCGCCAGAAGGAGCTGCTCTTTCGGGACAACGCCCGCCTCCTGCGGGCGAGGGTGGAAGCGGCCGTGGAGGCCCTTTCCGGGGACGACCGCCTCGGCGTCGACCCGGACCGGCTCGCCGGCCTGGGGTGGTGCTTCGGTGCCCACCCGATCCTGGAGCTCTCGGGCCTCCGGCGGCCGCTTGAGGGCGGGACGGAAGAGGGCCCCACCGCGGTTGCCCTGGTGTCGTACCACGGGGTCTACCGGCGGGATCCACCGGGATCCCCGGCCACCGGTGGCGATCCGGGCGACGGGCCGCGGGGGATCCTTCCGCCGGCACCGGTGGGAGACGTCCTGATCTGCACCGGGGGGAGCGATCCCTTTGTGTCGGGGGAGGACCTGGACGCCGCGAAAGCCGCCATGGAGGAAGGCTCGTACCGCGTCGCGATCGCGGAGTTCGAGGGAGCAAAGCACGGCTTCACGAACCCGGCCCAGGACTTCAACCCCAACCCGGCCTTTGGATACGACGAGCACGCCGCAACCGAGTCGTGGAAGGCTACGATGGAACTGCTGAAGCGACGGCTCGGGCCGCCAGGGTAGCAGGGATGGGATCTTGGGAACGAGCCGAGAAGAAGAACCGATTCATCGTCTTCTTCTTCTTTTTGTAGGGTTTTTGCTCGACTCTACAGGAGGAAACATGATAGGCCTCACTTGCACGAAACAGTTGGGACTTCACCGAGGTTTCTTCGGTGTTGGTGTTGGGTTGAACCAGAGTAAAAGTACCTCCCGAGCTATTGCATCCCTTGCTACTGATGGGCACCAGCCCTCGCACCGCGGATCCTAGTACTACTAGCACTACTAGTAGCTCTCAAAATAATTAGCCAATGAAATACATGCAAATTCCATACCCCATCTTCTTGCTCCTACTACTGTATATGATGATGGCATTAAACATCCTAATATACTGGCGTCTCATAGAGAATTGTTCTCGGAACGAAGGGCATGACGGGCAACAGAGAATTGTTCTCGGAATGAAGTAGTACTCCACATGGCATGACAGATCATTGTGGCGAGAACAAACATGCGATCAGCTGCGTGAAAATTCAAACCCATAACCTGTTTCGAATCGCAATGCCGTATCCTTTTTCGGAACAGAGTTGAAAATCCAAAATCCCAAATCTTTCCCCAAGAACGCGTTCTCGATCAACCTACTCGTACACGTCGTACCTTCACCGTACTACTCGATGAATACCGGTAGGCACGAGCGATGCGATGGGACAAAAACATCCTGTCACCTCGTTGGGGCAACGAAGACAACCATACGCCGGAACGAACGATGATCCGAGCGTTCCAGAAGACCGACTTGCGGCGTGTGGCATCTGTGGCATTGCTGTTTTTGCTGGCAACGGCGGACGCATTTCGTACCACCCACCTCCCGGCTCCAAGGGCATCCCCAACGACGGCCAAGACGACAACGAAAACGAAAACGAAAACGAAAACGACAACGACAACGACAACGACAACGGCGATGCGGTCGTCCACCGGCACCGGCGGCGCGGGCGACGAACCCCCCGTAACGCACGTGGTGGTCGCCGGCGCGGGGGTCATCGGCGTGTCGACGGCCTACTACCTCGCCAAGAACTTTGGGGTCGCCACCACCCTGGTCGATCCGACGGGGACCATCGCCCCCGCGGCCTCCGGAAAGGCGGGCGGCTTTCTGGCCCTGGACTGGAACGACAACTCCCCGGCCCTCGGCCCCCTGGCCCGCCGGTCCTTTGCTTTGCACGAGGAGCTCGCGGACGACCTCGGGGCGGACACCATCTCGTACCGGAGGCTCGAGTGCGTCTCCGTCCCGGTGGGGGAAAACGGGGGCCGGCGTCCGGCCGGCCGCAAGCTGGAGGGCATCGAGTGGGCGGAGGGAGCCAACGCGATGGGGGACGCCTCGGTCCTCGGTGGGACCCGGACGATCGCCCAGGTCCACCCGAAGAAGCTCTGCGATGCCATGTGGGAGCGGGTGCTGGAGCTGGCGCCGGAGAGCAAGCTGGTCCGCGGGAGGGTCGTCGCTCCGGAGGACAAAGACGGAGACGCCGGTGCCGACGCGGCGGTGGCAGCCAGGCTGGAGGACGGGAGCCTCCTGGAGGGGGACGCCCTCCTGTACTCGTGCGGGCCCTGGACGGCCACCAACATGTACGGAACCAAGTACCACTCCCTGGTCGTTCCCACCACCAGGGTCCTCCACCAGTGCGTCTTCTTTTCGGGCCTGGGGGATCCCGAGGTCTACGTCCGGGGCGACTCGACGGCCTACTGCACGGGCTTTCCGGACCCGCCGGTGCGGGTCGCGGAGCACCCGGGGGAGGAAGAAGTCCGGCCGGAGGCCATCGACCGGATCCGTGAGTCGGTGCGGGCCGCGTCGTCCTTTGCGGACGGCGCGAGCACCAGCTACCTGGTGTTGGGAGACGACGGCGACGACGGCCGCCAAGCGCCCCTGGAACAGGCGTGCTACCTCCCGGGCACGGCCGACGGGATCCCCATGATGGGGAGGGTGCCGGGGAAGGAACGGACCTACGTCTGCGCCGGGCACACGTGCTGGGGGATCCTCCTGGGGCCCGCCTCCGGCGAGGCCATGGCCCACGAGATTGCCGCCGCGGGGGGGAGAGGAAGCTCCCAGCCCTTCGTGGACCTGGGGATGTTTTCCCCCGGGCGGTTCGGAAGGCCGCTCGAGCTGGTCCCGGCTTTCGGTCCGGAGCGGTGACCGCCGAGAGGGCACGCCGGCGCACGACGAAGCGGGAACGCGGTGGTTTTGCCGGATCGCCCGTGAGGACGTCGTTTACAAGCTGAATTCTTTCTGTTGTGTACCCAGCCCAAATTGGGTTGCTAAGCTTACAGTACTACAAAACACAGATGTTAGCGGTATCGATAAATGCTATTCGTTTATAAATTCTGCCTGGATGGGTGTGTTCTAAAGTGTGTAAAGAAGAATGATCCCGCCGTGCATTTTTATTGTACAGAGACAAAGAGTATTTCCATTCCAATCATTGTTCCGGGAAGAACACCTGCGGGTTCAAGAGTTGCTCCCCATTCCTTTCAAATCATCGTTCGCAAGTGCCCTTTATGCAAAGAGCGGAGTGTTCCCGCCTCTCATCGCAAACTCCATTGGACCGGGTCCGCCGTCGGCATCGTTGTCTTCCAATGGCATGTATTCGGCCAAGATTCCTCGCACTTGTTCTCTCATGTCGTCCCGTGTCTTTTGATAATGCCAGTATCCGGCTCCGGCAAAGGCCATCGCCATGAAGACGATCGTGAATCCAAACGTGTGCGCCGATACCTGTCCGCTACTCGATCCGGAATCTTGGCACTTGCCCTTCGTGGCGCATGCAACAACATCCGAACACTTGGAACAAGTCTCACATATGGCAGGCGTGGTTCCTTCGGCATATCCGGCGCAAATGGCTCCGAAAACGGTACCGACGGTGAGTTGTCCCCGCATGGCGGCGGTATTCACAAATGTGGTGGGCAAGACAACAACGCCTCTCTGCTCCTGTAGTTCGAGTTCGGAATCGAACAGCGCGTTGCTGTTGTCTTTTCTTAATCCACCGCTGTCGCTCATGCATCTCTCGATTTTGTCCCTGTCAACCTTTGCGCGCTTGTAGCAATCGTTGACACAATCTTCGTTCATGAAGTAGTCGGGTGTGTTGCATCGATCCATGAATTGTATGATATAATCCCACCACACTTCGCCGATTCCATCCGATTCACCATAATGCTTCCAGATACACAATCGACGGAGGGATTCCTTCACTACGTCGGCACCAGAGATTCCATGGTCGAGGTCGTTGTCGGGATCGGTTGCGCAATATCTGCCGTTGTTGGTACACAAATTATAACAAAAGTTCTCCCCATCATTTCCTCGGCAGTTGGTTTTGATCCCATCGTAGATGTACTGGTGAGGTGTGAAATAGGCACTGTCCCCCAGAGCCTTGGCCACGGGTTTGAATTCTTCCAAAAATTTCTTGCTGGTTTTCTCAGAGGGGGTGGTCCAGAGATCGTACTCGACTCGGTCATCGGGGTTTGGAAGGGACCAAGCCATTTCTAGTTGCACCGGCTGGTCCTCAATGAGTTGATCCTTGACCATGTCGGCATCGTGTTTGAACATGAGCATCGACGGGATCGAAATGTCCGAACCAGATCCGTCGTCTGCCATGATGGGCTCCGACGTTTCGCAGGTAGGGTTGTCCGAAAGTTCGATGCAACGAGCATCTGAACAAAGGCAGGTGTTATCGGCAATAATAACACCGGCAGCACCGGCACGCTGGGCATTGCGGACCTATTAATTCGAGAACGTATCACAATCGTCGAGGAAAAAAATGGAAACAGGAGACAAAATATCTTTGTGTCAGTCGTGTACTCATTGTACTCTTTTGTAGAGATGGATTCGACTAGCAGCGTTCAAACGAAATGGATCCTTACCTTTTTGACAAAGGTGCAGTCGCCGCGGTCTACCATGAGAATGTACGGCGCCTTCCATTCCTCCATTTTGCCATTCGCGTCTTCTTCTCGACGGGGGTATCCTTTCGTGGTGTCGACGACTGGGTCACACAATTGGTCGTCGGCGTAATAAACGTTCTGCGTGATCGATCCACCGTATGGTGGGATTCCAAAGAGAGCCTCTCTGTGGTCATACCCTTCCGCTACGAAGAGTTTGTGCGGGACCTATTGAAGCGATAAAACCGTGGGAAGAAAATTTGAGCGTGCGTTTGGTATCATTTTTCAGAGAAAGAGGACCGATTTGCAGCGGTGTGAGATATTGGTCATTCAAGCGTTGTCTATCGCGGATGCGGGGTTGGACGACTCCCCGGCGGTCTTTGTGCCTCTTTTCCGAACGGTGGAGGGAGACCCGCTGCACGCGAGACATTTCTGGAACAGAACGGGCGAAGCCCATGACCGTCTTACGCTGCTCATTCTGGTAGCAACAGACAACGATGGAGTTCTCGTCCAGAACGACAAGAACCCGATTCCATACAATGTGGTTTTTGGCCACGCCCGGGGCTTTCGGTAACGTCTTTCCGATCCACGCGGTTACCGGTCACAAACCAAACAGGGCTGCTGCGTCGACGTTCTTATTCCTCGGGTCAAACTGCTTCTTCCGTAGAATCAGTACTGAGCTGTACACACGCAGAGATGCACGACTAATAAAAGACGAAAATTCTGCTCTACCACATCAACACATCCAAACTCACGTGAATCATCAGGCGGCTCGAGACATGGTCAGGGGTTGTGGCTGTTACCGTCGATAGCGACAGCAAGAATGGTGCAGCAGCAAGAACAGACAACATGATTCTTTCGAACTTTGTTGGGTTGTTTTAATGGTGGTGTCGTCGTTGTTGTTCTTTTTTATGTTCTTGGAAGTTGCCTCTGTTCACAGTACCGTGCGGACAAAGGCCTTCGAAAATTTTTGGTGACCGCGGCTAGAAAGCCGGAAGCCGGGGCATGAGGTTTCGATTTCGTTCGGTTTGACAACGCGAATTTGTTTGAAGTGCAGTGCGCTCGTCGGTACATTATCTACTGTCAAATGACTTACGTACCAACATACGGTACCAAAATGCGCATGGCGAACCTGTAATTTTTGGGTATCATGTTCTCGACCTAACAGTACGTACCGTACCGTACGTAGTAAAACATCTAGCAGTTCTTTCACGCGTACTACAGTAGCTTCCGTACTGTAAGAGAGTTTCCGAGGTCTTTGTTTTGTTTTTAAACACAGTTTTGCTTTCCCGCGACCGGCCGTAGATAATGATGACCCTTCGTCCTCACTCCGCTATTGGGTGGTACCGTAACGCAACGCTAGATTTATGACTTGGATTTGAAATTTGAAACGAATACATAAATACAGTAAGAGCGTACGTATTATGGAACGGTTACTGGTACTCGTACTTCCTTGTGGTTTCTTCCATCGCCTTCTTCAATCAATATCCTACCGTACGTCTTTGAAGTCTTATCTGCTGTTGGCTGTCTGAATCTGTCTGCGGACGGCCTTTGTGTCCAAGTGAAGTTCGCACGAGTTCTTAACGGTAAATTCTGTTTTCGTCTCAACATACGCAACAAAATTGCCGATAGTGCAAGGCACCGGACGGGCATTGCAACCCTCCGTCAAAAATCGACCCTTCTGCTCCCCGCAACCCTTTATCGTGTTTGATAGTCTTATCCTTTTGATAACTGAAAGGAATCGCAAACGAGCAGGGGCGCATACCATCCAGATTGTCGACCGGCGATTTTTGTAGAGAAACCTCCAGGGTCGGATGCGGGGCCACCGAACCATTCAAATTGTAGAGAAGAATGCCGCTGCATAGCTCGTGCACTTGTGGGGTTGAGAGGAAGGAACTATAGAACGACCACCGTTGCAAGAGGGAGGCATCCGTTCGTGCCATGGCGGATTGCAAGGTCTATTCGGAGCGACGATCCCGTTGCTACAACGTTTACGGGAACAACCGAGGGGAAGAATGTGTGCACGAAGCCCTCACCGAAAAAAGATGTCTTAGCATGCTAAAGTGTCCCCGCCAAGCGCTGGAATATTACGGCGGCGCCGGCATCGGTGGTGGCGAACAAAACGATAGTGGCTTCTTTGCGACACACAACGAGCTTCCACGACGCGAATTCGGTGCCGGCGAAGCAACGAAGAATGGGTACCCAAAAGCTCTCTGCGCTTCCTGGGCCGAATCCTTTTTCTACGTCGACAAGGCGTTGGAATACGGAGAAGAGGTAGCGAGCCACCATAGAGAGGCCCGTCGAATAGTATCCAGCGATTCCAAGCTGCGGAAGGAATGCCGTCGAATGGCAATGGAACTGGCGGATTGTTTGCGTGCTGCTACAGCAACGAAGTAGTGGGGTTTCGTGACGAGCGCACGGTTCTGTTCAGTGGCCAATACAAACACCGGAGAATTGTCAGCGCATGATAAACCAAATTCACAGCGATGAGTGTCGACTTCTTCTAGTTTTTGTTGAACATTCTTCTTCCTGTCGCTATCCTCTAAGCTACTAGCTCTTCAGATTTGATGATCATAAAAGAAAATTATATGAAGTTGTTGTGGTGGTGGTGTTTCTTATTCTTCTTGCAGTGGACTGCAAGAATATTAATTGTAGTACCTTTTTCTTGCTTGCTTCTGGGCTCATCCTATCACATTTAAATTGTTGGTACCAATCACTACTAGTAGTACTAAAAAAATCTTAATATTATATTTAATTCCTGTGCTTTCATTGCTCTTTCAGTCTTATGCTGCTTCATGGTGCTATTATCTCCTGGATAAGGGTATGTGATATCAGCATATACACTGGGTAGTAGACGTTGACAGCTCTATTCACTTGATCACTTTGATTCCTGGGGAATCTATGACTTGAAGCAAAAACATATCTCTTATGGCTGCACAAATCATTGTTTTCCTTTCAAAAGTAGAGCTCTTGGCACTAGTCAACAGGTGCTGTTCCTCCCAGATTATCAACTTGTACTTGTAGAACTGTTGGTGCAGATTCCTTCACAATAAAAAGGTGAACCTTTTGAATTATCATTATTTGCTTGTTGTGCTCTGTTTGTTATGTGTCCTTCCATGCACTTTGATGGCATTTCGCTTTTGGTCTTGAAAGTCACTGAAGAATGGATTTCATTGTTGCTTTCACCCTTGTGATGATGTATTGCTGCTGTTGCTTGCTGCTATTCCTCCAAGGTGTTTAGCATGCTGTGTGCAGTTCTTGCTGTTGCTGCTGAGCCACTTTTGCTCTTATTTACAAGCTCTGGGAACAGCAATCATGACAGGATATTGTTCTGCTGGTGATTCACCAGATTGTTTTGTATCTCCTCCTCCTCCTCATAATTGCCCTCCACTTATTTGACATCTTGCATTTCTTGTTTGCTTCTTTTACTAGTACTAGTAGCAGTGAGAACCTCTTATTTCTGAGCTCTAAACATGGCTTCATTTCTTGCAATGTAGGTGCTGATGATGCAATGTAGTAGTAGTGCTCACTGAATTGCTTGCTGGTAGCAAAGTAGTAGTGTTAATATTAATACTACTACTAGTAGTAGTAGTAGTAGTAGCATTAAGGATGAGTACTGGTGCTGGTGACCAGAAAAGTATTTTTAATTGTTGACAGCTGCAGCAATCATGCACTGTTTGGTCCCTATTAAGAAGAGTAAAACCATGTGTGGAGCAAGAATATGCCTGCCCTGAATGGGCAGTTCTTTGGTTCAGGTGCTAGTAGGAGCCACCACCAGTGACCTACTGGTAACTAACTCCTAAACAAATTCTTGTTGTCAGTCACCATATCTCCAATAGTAGTATGATGATAACTGTTAGTACTAAACAAAGGAGGAGTCATTAGTAGAAGAGACCACCAAGCACCAGATCATTAGAATAGTAAGAAGAAAGATAAAGAAATGAAGAAGAGTTCAACAGTCCAATGACCCAAATTTTGACATTTTAATTTTTTAGGGTGTCACCAGCTGGGGGTAATACCATGTTTCTGTGTCACTGTGCTTATTTACAGGTGATGATGGTTCTTGACGCACAAAAACTGAAGGATAATGGGGTTGGGCAAGAATTTTAAATTCAGCCATCTCCAATCTCCTACAATTATGTATGTAGTACGTACCCAAGGGTTCCAATTGAAATGTACATACAGGTGCTAGTAAATTACTACCTCCGTCCCACAATAATAGTACACTACTACTATGCAGTACTCTATTTTTCCCAAAATAATTGTCCAGTATGGAATAGCCCTCTAGAATATGTAGAATAAGTACTACAAGTACTACAACTACTATTGTAAGTTTGGATCCCATCTTAGTGGAAGCCCAAGGCGAGGACATGAGGCAAGTAGTGGAAGTAGTCCTTTGCTCCCCCCCTCTTAGTGGAAGCAATGGAGACGTGAGGCGCTGGCAAGTCGATTGATCCCCTCTTAGTGGTGGAAGCAACGGAGATGCAAGGCAAGCCGGTGGATCCCTTCCCCCTCTTAGTGGAAGCAATAGAGACACAAGGTAAGTTGTTGGATTGCTTCCCCCCTCTTAGTCAAAGTGCAAGGATTGCTTCCCCCCTCTTAGTGGTGGAAGCGCGAGGCGAGTCCAAGTGAGTCACTTGGATAGCAAAGAAGCCGGTTTTAGTCAGTTGAATGGAAAGAATTGAATCAAAAAGAGGAAATCTGGAGGTTTTGTGAAATCAAGAGTGAAAATTATCAGGTGAAAATAACATGGGGATCATTTTTGCACCTGCGCACAGCACTTTTTTTCTTTTCGCATCGGTTCTCCAGCTCAAAATTGAAAAAAAACTGCACACACCCGAATAACAACAAGCCCAAGCAGTTTTTTGCTTTCTCTTGTGACCAACTAAAGACTGCATAAAACATTCCCAATAATTTTAATAAAGATATCATGATAAAGCTCTCAGTCTGGGCTTTTAAAATAAACATGTCCTGTCTTTAAGTGACCAGTAGGTAGAACCAAGAACAAACTGGTGCTGACAGTAAAATCACATTGTTGATATGCCAAAAATGGACCCCTTTAACAAGTAGCTATTGCAAGTACGTCAGACACATTGACTATATTCAATCTACATGACTGTATAACAGTTTATAACAGTGTAATAGATCTGTTTAGTGCAAAAAAAGCAATCCAATCGCCCAAAAATTGAGCTTATTCCAACCCAAGAGGTGCAAAGTATACTATTATTGTGGGACGGAGGTAGTAGTATTGTAGGAGCTGTACGTAACATATGTACCACTCATTGACTTTTGCGATACAAACTGCTGCCACTATTATTTGTCGAAGACCGTATCGTATCGTACGGTCGATTACCTACATGTAGCAACACGACACCGTACACTACTGAACACGCACGCTGAACGAAGCAGTTGCCAAAACGAGAATTTTTTAGGATATGATTTCTTCCACATCCGATGTATTGAACTACCGTACCGTACGACTCACACAACAGTCGTCTATGGCGGTACGCATTCTAAACAACCAGACAACTCACTATCTCATCATCATTTTCATCACCGTTCGCATTGCACCATCCGCGTACTTTCCTTCTTTTAACAGGCATACCTCCCATATCTCGATACAGTTCAACGATGATTCGAAGTGGCTTCTTCCTGGCATTATTTACCTCCTCGGCCTCGGCCTTCATGGCCCCCACCAAAAGCACACGCAGCTACGGTTCGTCTACGCAGACCTTTTTGTTCGACAAGATGTTCGAAGAGGAGGGCATGCTCGGAAAGGGAATCACCGTTGGATCGGTCCAGGTGGCCCTTCGAAGTAACGATCGAGCTTCGGATACTTCGATCTTCGGTCTGCTGGAGGATCACTCGAATCTCGACAGTGACGCCAACGAAGATCTGGCAAGAATGGCGAATGATGTTTGTTTGGATTTGATGCGAAAATCGGACGATTGGGTTGCGGCTTGCAGCACTAGCAAATGGTTCAGTCAGAACGATGCCGGTAAGGCAGAGAGCTACTACAACGAGCTCGCGAACAACATCGCGACCAAGTTTGACAAGGTATGTGAAAGATCTCGACCCAGGTTTTCGAGAGAATTATTTAGCAGCGATCGATCTGTCTCGGATATTGGTTGTCTCACGATCTTGGAATGAATTCGATCTGCTATTCAGGAATATGTTCCGGATGAAGATGACGAGGAGGAAGGAGGTCCGACACTGGTCGTCGTGAGTCTCGTGTTGGAGATTCAAGGAGATTCAACGAAGTAAGTATTATTGTGCGGCTTGTTCGAGGCAGAGTCAACCATAAAATCGTTCTCTATCTTTGTCACTCATTGCTAGCTCGATTTTCTTTCTTTCGCTATTTCCTTTCGTAGATTTGATGGCGCAGGCTATTCTATTGCGCAAACAAAAGAAGTCTTATCAAGTATTGGGAGTGATTGCCTGATCGACGACGGATATTGTGTCAACGCGGTGGAGGCATTATGGACACCAAGTGAGCGAAATGAAGTCATGTCGAAAAATGATATGATTATCGACTTTCCCGAGTTGATCGACTTCTAAGGCTGGTTGAGTTTGTCCAGCTCTGGTTTTCGAAAAGCAATGATAAGATGCTACAAGTTGAACCTGTACAACACTAGTTGCTATTACTGAATTTTTAATTTGGACTTTGTCCCTAACAATTTATGGATCACATCGATGGTCAACCGCTTCTTTTGGTTGAGAATCGCGTCGTCTTCGTCAAGCAATGCAATTAAGCCATGTTCTCATAGACATGGAACGATGCAATCACTTCACAAAATATTCTGTTTGAACGCTCCCTGAAGGTAGTACCTTCAAATGCTGTGTACTGCATTACGCAATCTAGACGTTCTTAAATCACGCAATATGATTTACGAAATCTCGACATTTAAATCATCTTCGTCATCCATCGGAATCCCCACAGTTTCAACATTATTTTTGCCGTCGATCGGCATGTATTCGGCCATAATTCCGCGGACTTGGGATCGCATTTGTCTTTGTGATCGTTGCCATTGAATAACACCCAAGATTCCAAAGCAAATAACTGTTACCACCAAGGTTCCTATGAACGTTCCAAAGGATACAGTATCAAAACTGTCCACATCACCTGGACAGTGTCCTACAGAAACACATCTGCTGATGTCATCACACGATTTGCATTTTTTGCAGGCTTGTGGTTCATATCCAAGCGCATATCCGGCACATATTGCCTCGAAGATTTCAGCGGTTTTTGGAGCCCCGCGAAGAGGGGCATTGTTGACGAAGAACGATGGTATAATGACCACGCCAGATGATTCCCGTGCTAGCAATTCGTCGTCTAGGAGTTCATTCTGGTCGTCGTTTTCCAGTCCACCAGAATCATCCATGCAGGCCTGGATCCTGTCGAAATCAACACTGGAACGGTCCATACAATCCTTCACGCATTCAATACTACTGAAATAATCTGGGCTGTTACACCGATAAAGAAATTCGTTCACGTAATCCCACCATGGCATACCAACCCCATCACCACCGTATGTGTTCCAAATACATTTCCTTCTTAGACTCTCGACAACGACGTCAGCACCAGATATTCCTTCGTCCAAATTGTCGTCGGGATCAGTCGCACAGTATCGTCCATTGTTTGTACACATTGTGTAACACTGGTTTTCACCCGTCGGCGATACACAGCCGGCATAAATCCCATCGTAGATGTACATATGTGGAGTAAATTGCGCGTCATCACCCAGTGCCCTTGCTACGTGCCTGAACTCTTTTTGAAAAGGAAGACTAACCTCATCCGTCGGTGTTGTCCACATTGAAAACTCAACACGGGAATCGGGACGGGGCAGAGCCCAAGACATAGTCATCCTGACAGCCTCGTTTTTCTTCATAACCTCCTTCAAGGGATCTGCGTCCTGTTTGTACATGAGAAAAGATGGAATTGTCACGTCGGATCCGCTTCCATCATCGGCCATGATGGGCTCCTTTGATTCGCAGTATGTATCTCCTTCCGAAACACATTTATCTTGGGCAGAACACAAGCAAGTGCTGTCCGCTATGAGCATAGCAGCCGCGCCGAGTTTTTGTGCGTTTCGGGCTTTCATCACAAAAGTGCAGTCACCTCGATCGACCATTAAGATAAACGGTGCTTTCCATTGTTTCATAATTCCATCTTCGCCAGATTCACGGGTGGGAAAACCTCCTCGTGAATAATCAGTGTTGCTGTCGCAAAGATCTGCGTCGGCGTAATAAACATTTTGTTCGATCGATCCACCGTATGGAGGCATCCCGAACATGGCTTCCCTGTGATCATATCCTCCATTCTTTTTTAGGCTTAGCGGGAACTACAAGGAAAAATCAAGCATTTCAAATATTACCCAGCGAGCAAAATAGAGAAAGTGGAGAAAACCAACAAAAAGAAAAAGCGACCAAGATGAGCATTAAGACAGGGCGGGCGGAGAAGAAAGTTACGTCTTTAGAAGGGAGGAAGCGAGCCCTTGTTCTTTTCTGTATGGTCGATTTTCCATTCGTACCTGAACTTGCAACTTTGAGGTCTGGATGGTTCTACTTTCGTCTGCCTCGGCTTCCATCGCAATTGCTGCCAGCACAACAACTTTAAGTGCCGAAAATAGTGACCCATTTGTCATCCTTGTGTCTTGTCAAAGTCTTTGACTTTGTGGTTATTATTACTTTTGTTGTGGTAAGCTATTTTTGCGAAGCGACAATAAAAGGTAGTCGAGTTTGTCACTAGGTAGCGCTACTTTCTATCTGTCGAGGCTTGTGAAGTATGTCGATGGTATTGATTCGAGGGTTCGTATTCGTTGTTGGGAGTGTTTCTGGACGAAAGCAACACTACGCGATGCGGCAGGGTCATTTCAAAAGTTTTTGTTCTCGATATCCTGAAATCGGCCCTTGGATTTTCTCTAACAGCGTTGTAACGCAAAACACCACAAAACAGGGGGGCCAAATCCTAAAAAATAAACATGAGAAAAATTTGTCATCGTAGGTTGTAAAAAGTACTCGTAGTACTACTACTAGTAGAAATGGGTCATTCCCAATTCCCAATATTATAGATGTGCTACTTTTGATAGACTGACAGACCGGAAATTTATTTCATCTGTAACAATTTTTATTACATTTGATTGAGGCCAAACCGACCCCATCAAACGTAATAAACTTTATGATGGAACTCATGATTCAAAATTTCAAGTCCATTGAAAGATTCAACAGAAAGCGCGCCAGAATCTTAACACTACTCGACAAAATTAAGACCCGGCTATCATCGCTCGTCCTAAACAAGAACAAAGAGAGGCACCTCTATTAAGAATGGCGCCTCTATCATGACACAGAAATAATGTCCTGGTTGGTGCTCTTAGTAGTCAGTACATCCTATTTCCTTTCTTTGCTGTTGTTACAGCAACAAAGAAAGCAGGAGGAGGCCGCCATTCTCAACAAAGAGGGAGCTCTTTGTTGCAAAGAGGCAGCTCATTGTCCAACCCCCCACACTATTTTTGTAGTAAAATGAAAGATGGCAAAGCCATCAATATGGGCCAGAAGGCTGGAGTAGCAAACTACTCTCACGATGAGCTAGACTGCTGACACTACAGTGCAGACACCGCAGGCTTGCTGAAAAAGTACATATTTTCCACTCTTTTTTTGTAATCTCAATCCTCATTATCAGCCAATCAGATTCCTGGATTCTTACTGAAATATTAGTTTTATCTTTATCTCTATGGCCAAAATGAGCATTTTGAACAGCTGGGGCATTAGGAAACAGCATACTTCCAAGTACAGTTCTTGTTAGCAACTGGATCCTCAACTAGTTTGACCATGTTGACCACTAGTAGTAGCATTGGTAAAAAGAGTCAACTGGCATGATGTGTTTTCTACATAGAAGAGATAATGGATATTTGGGGGGTTCCAGGAATCGATTTTGTAAAAATCACTCATACAACACAATTGAATCGCACGACTGGATCATACGACTCGTACAAATATGACTTGTTGTGTGATTAAACTGGCACCATGTGGTACGTGCTGGTATGTTTTAGCATGCTTATAGTATACCAATCCTATAAGTACACTGTGGTCACGAGGCTATTGCTTCCAGTACTGAATGACCCTGGCAAAGCCTCCTAATGACCCTTAACACAGTACACGGTCATAGTGTTTCATCACACTGATACTACTGTGTTGAGTATTGCAAGTATGGGGAAGCTTCTAACAGCAGTCGCTTTCACACTTCTTCTTTTTATCTAATCTAAACACCCTTAACATGCCCCAACACCATGGTGTTAACCATATCTGCATGGTGCTAAGTCTTAGTGTGTATACTGTTTGAATGTGTTATCAATAGATTAACACTACACTAACTACACTATTTCACGCACAATTTCTTTAATTTTTAAATAACCTAAAAATTTCTGGCTTTTTCCTGGCAGATCATATAAGGTAGAAACATATTAGATTGGTTGCGGCCGCCGCCTTTGGTTTTTTTTTGAAGGACAACAGCGGTAAAAAAAACTTTCTACAGTGCAAAAACTAGGTTATTGCTAGTAGAATGACTTGTTGTCACAATAATGACTGAATGTTTAAGTTAAAAATGAATAATTTATTTTGGTTAAGGTACTAGCTAATTTATTTGCAAAAATTAATATACCGGGGTTTGTACAAATCTACACTAAAAAAAGTTTCTTTTTGTTTCCTCKGTAAGTCCAGGGCAGTAAGAATTCTTCAAAGTTACTGGCTAKGCACACTAAAGATAGAGATAGTGAAGTGCAGTGCAGTGTAGCCAATTTTCAACTTATGGTAGAAATAAAGTCAACAATTGGTAGATATATAGTCAATACCTGGTAGCTCCATGATGGATAAGTGCCTTTTTGAGACTCCAACATACTATATATTCATTTCTGAAGCTGTTCTATTTGCTTGCCTTCAAAACGGTTTTAGTATTACTTATACATAGGGGGGTCTAGGAAATTACTAGAAATTGGCTATAATTCTGATTTAAATCAGATTTGAATCAGATTTAAATCCTGTATCTCATACCCTTTTCCTGGTCATTTTCTGCTTGATTTCTGGTAGCTAAAAATTTTAAATTTTTATCAAATAGTTTCCTAGATCCCCCTTTGTTCTTCAGCATGGAATGCATACTCTCACTACAGAACGATTGACGCACATCCTGCTGGTGTAGATAGGAACTACCACCATAGTCGTCAAACTAGTCGAGGATCTGGTAGCTAACTTTACATGGGAATACACTGTTTCCTAACATCCCTGTGCCCTATCAGCAACTCCTCCTAGTACCGTAGCGCTGGTATGGGTGTTATATCACAGGCCTCTGTAGAAGTCCTAGTGCTACTAGATGCCTGTGACACAATATTCAGAACCACAGCCTAGTAGTACCGTGCGTACAAGTTTAACTTGAGAAAAATCAGAGCTAAAAGAATTAAAGCCCAATTTGGGCCAACCACTAATGTAACTTTGGTAGACCAGTTCTAATCTGCCAGAGCATCCTTAAGCTTCCCAATGGCATGGATCATCTTTAAGTAATTATATCAACTTGGACTGGGCGCTTAGACTGGTGGTGGGAATCTAGAGTTGTTTTTTTATAGAGTTCTGGCCTATTTTCTTCTAATCAGCAGCCAGTCTTGGAACTGGCCAAATTTGGCCATACCGGCTCTTAATGGAGGACCAGCTCCCCCCTGTGCCCTAATCGTGTAGCAATGACACCAGCGCACACCAGCACTCTTTGTCTTACTAATACTGTGACCGAGCATATCCTCCGCCCCAAAGGGGAGGATCTCATTGTTAGTAGAGTTCTTTCCGGAGCTGTTGTGTTTACCTTATTTTAGCTTATTGAGCTGTTTGTGGTCAAATAAGTGATCAAAAACTAGTAGATCTATGTAGGATCAGTACTACAAGAATACTGGGCTTCGAAATTAACCAAAATTAATGGTGATGCTACTACTACTAGTAATAATTTTTGGTCTTGGAGTAGAATGCCTTTTCGCCCTGTAGAACGTGGTAGGCTTCATACAGCTAACGCATTTTACTCCGATTAAACTCATAGTAAAGTACCTTGTAATCGGACAAAAATATTGCTCCCCCGGCGACGCGACCATAATTTTATTAATGACTGTATAATGATATGTAATCGTTAGGGAATTAACGCGATCATCATTTAGTCACAAAATATTGTCATCCCGTTAAAAACCATTCGTGATCAGACTCCTTCAACGATTTTAAAATTTCTTTCTGCATCCATTGCATCAACCGTTGGTATCCCATTAGGAACATTTGAGAAAGGAAATGATCTTCTTGCGAAAAAATACTTCCTCCCGTCTTCATTGGACTATCCCTCGATAGGCAAAAAGATAATCTTTTAACTGGCTCTGAACAGTTTGAAACAAGCGAGTTTCATAGTGATTGAAAATGGCTACACCCTTGATAAGCATCACTCGTTCGGGTGGACATAAACGAAATGGTAAAAGATACACTCCTGTAGGAACGACTGTTGTGTCTCCAATGAGCTCTGCATCTCCTGTCGATTCAAGAATGACTCCGATTCGGAGGTCTTTGTTTCAAAAACGTCGTATGACATCCGGCAAAAGAAGAAAAGATTCATTTATGGCACCCATCAATAACGAATCCAGGGACGATGAGTCAATCTATTCTGAAAATACAAATACAAATACATCCAGCAAGAAAAAAGATGGTCCACTGAGTAATCTCCGGGACAGATTCAATCACATTCAAAGCGGTTTAGGCTCAATAAATGAAGAGCGGAATAATCTTGTCGAGAAAGCGAGACAACTCGACAAAGAGAAGCAATCCATCCAGAAACAATTGGAACTCCGTGAACGTGAGATTTTTGCACTCATTAGGAGATGCGCCTCCCAAGAAGAAAAGATGCGTGAATCGAGCAAGCTGCGATCAAAAAATAAGACTTTACAAAAAGATCTCGACGAAATCACGCGAAAATTAGACGGAATAGAAGACAAGAAACAAGACCGTCTGAGTATCGAAAAAAGGTTACAAGAATCGGAATTAGACAGAGAAAGGTTGAAAGATCGTCTAGCACAACTTCAACGAGAACATGACTCGATAGCAGACACATTACAAGAATGCTTGGGGAAAATTCGTGTGTTAACTGAAGAAAAGCATGCAATCGAAGAAGAACGTCGAAGGGAACGAAAACGAGCAGAAATCGAACTTGAGAAACAACATCTGGCACATGTGAATAACTCAAACTGTTTGAAGGAAGATATACAAGCGCATCAAAGAAAAATTCATGAAATGGAGAGTATACTTCAAGATAATATGAAGTCAAACACAGCCTTGCGACGTGAAAAGGCTGCAATGTCCCAGGGACAGCAAGAGGAGATACAAGGGATTATTAAACAGTATGAGGAACAATTGAAAGATATGGAGAAAATAAGAAACGAGACAAACGTGGACAACAAAGTTCATCATAAAGTTGATGGCGAGAAGTTGAATGTTGAGTTAACAGTTTTGACAGAAAAATTGGAATCAAAAGATGCTAGAATTGCAGAACTAGAATCAGAATTTTCTGACCAGATGATGGAGCTGATGTCTAAGCAAGGTAGTTTGGACAGTGCCGAGGAAGAGAAAAGAAAGTTGGAGTTGAAAGTCGAGGCTTTCAAGAAAGTAGAAATTGAGCACTCTGCCTTGCTAGACTTTGTAGATATACTAGATTCGAACTTAGCTGAGCTGACGGTGACGAATGCAAATCTAGAACTTCAGAAGGACGAAATGCGTGACGAGACCAATGAGCTTCGAAAGAAAGTCACTATATTGCAAAAGCAACTGTCGAACCTAATGAACAACAACAGAGCTAAAGAAAGCGACTTTCGAGAACTATTGAATTCCGAAAAGGAAGAACTTCGAAACGAGGTAGAGGAATCGCTGAATAAAGCACGAGGAGAGATTCTTTCACTTCAGGCTGAACTTGAAAGGAGAAATAGAAGTATCATAAATCTGGAAACTGAGCTTCGAAATACTCGAAAGATAGTTATTGAAAAGGAGGAAGAAATTGTTCGAATCTTGAACGAGATGGAGAATCTATGCTCAAATCTTGGAACAGACTTAGAGAAGGCCCGAGACGAAGTTGCTCGTCTAGAAGCTGAAGTATTTTCGAAAGATCAAAAGCTTGCTTCTATCGAAGGGCACTTGGAGGGCGCAAAGGAGGTTCAGGAACTAGAGGAAAAAGTTGAAGAGAATCTCGAGTGTCAGCTACAACTGACAACAAAAGATTTTGATGACAATGAAAGTCTTTTAGGATCAAAAGGGACAGCTTATATTTCTAAGGAGCGAAATGTTGATATAGTCGTGAGGGAGATAACAGACTACGACAAGCTCGAAGAGAGGATACGTATTCTAGAGAAAGAGCTGTCGGAAGCACAACTTTCTCGATCGGAATCGGCAACAAATTTGAAGAAGGCACAAGAAACGATCGCAGAACTCGAAAAACAACTCATCGGAGAGGATGCACGCACCATTTCACTTGAAACTGAACTGTATCAGGCTACTACTGATTTATCAAAGGAAGAATCTAAAGTTTTGTCAATCGAAAATGATCACCTTGCACGCGAACAGTTCCAGATGGATTATGAAAAAAAAATCCAGGAAACGTCTTCAAAAGTTGCTACACTTGAGGATGAGATTTCAGAGATGAGGAATCAATCGAATAATCTAGATATAAAACTTGAAGAATCCTATAGAGAGAACGCTATGAAGGATGAGGTTATATCAACACTGAGAACTGAGTTGCTGGAAGGTCAAGAAGAATCGAAAGCATTGTTTTCAGAGCTTGATATCAAAAATAAAAGAATAAAGGATCTTGAGCTATTACTTGATGAAAAACAACTCGAGTTTCAAACGACGATGGACGACACAAATTCTGCGTTGGCAAGAAAGGAAGATTACATTAAAGCTATAGAAGATCGAGCGTCAAATAATCAAGAAAATGCTAAAAAACTCGAAGCATTACTAACCCAAGCAGAGGACGACATTGTCTTGCTTGAGGAAGAAATCCAATACCAGGAAAAAGAAAGAGAGACCCTGAGCGAAGAATTGAAGAAAGTCAATCAGAACTCTCGCGATAAGTATTTAGAATCAGAAAAGAAAATGGAGTGTTTGCTCTTAAGCGAGAGCTATTTGACCAACCAACTGGAGAAAACCAACGCCATCTTGACGGAAGAAAGAGAATCCTGGGTTGCGAAGCATAATAGTTCTAACGAGGAGCTCGCTAGTCTTCAAGTCAAAATTATGGAGTTACAGGAATCTCTGACCGATCGAGAGAAAGCAACACTAGAGAACGGCGAAGAAGAGGAAGAAAATCTGAGTTCAATCTTGGAGGGTCAATTATTGGAAGCAAAAAATACGATTGTGGAGTTGGAACTAGAAGCTAACGCGAAGGACCGAAAACTCAATGATCTTGAACAACAAATCAATGACAGAGAGTCTGAACTCGCCGTGAACGAGATTCGAAGGGTTGAAATGGAAGTCGAACTCACCAGTGCAAATGAGAAAATGAAGGAGATGAAAACAAATATTTGTGCTCTAGAATTGAGATTAGTTGGAATTGGCGACGAATTAGAACACAAACGTCACGAAATTGAAGAAGAGGGCAAAAAGACTTCATCTCTGCAAAGTAAATGTAGCGAGTTAGAAAATGAGGTACAGTCTTTGAATCAAACACTTCAGGTTCAAGAAGAGAAGCTTGTGAAGACGAACGACGAGCTCGAAATAAAGAAAACGGATATTTTGAAAAAAGAAAAAATCATTGAAACATTACAGGCATCGATACGATCCTTGGAAAAAGATGCAGATCAAACTAGAAATGAAGTTTCTTTACAAAACGATGCTGTGGCTATCCTTCAAGAAGTTGCCGAAAACTTAAAGTCAGATTTATTCAAGGCTGAAACTGAATTAACTGAAAAGAATAAAACAACTTTGTCTCTTGAAGAAGATGTTGAATCAGAGAAGGCAATTCGCATGGATCTTCAAGGCGAGCTCACAATCGCAAAGGTCAAGATAAACGAATACGAGAAGATGAAAGTCGACCTTCAAGAGCGTCTGGAAGTGGAAAAGCAGGGATGCAAAACGTTTGAAGAAAAACTTTTAGAAGCAAAGATCGCTTTAGAATCTCTCGAGTCTTCAAGTGGGGAACGCATCGCAGGGCTCGAGAATCAAATTGCCGAATTGAGAGGAGACTCTACTTTCAGAGAGCAGGAAGAGTCAACTAAGCGGAAGAATGCAGAGGAATTGGCTGCTTTGTTGAAGAAAGAGATCACTACTCTCAGAAACGAAGAATTGCAACAAAAATCCACAAGAAAATCAGAAAAGGAATCTATGGTGAAAGAAATTGAAGCGCTGAAGTCCGAACTAGAAATGCTTTTACTGAAGAACGTGGACCTGTCAGAACAGCGCGAAAAAGAAGCTGAGATGCGAATAACGAGCACTGAACTTTTTGAGTCATCGATTCAGGAACTGAAGGCCCAACTCAGTAACTTGATTTCCACAATAGACGAGCGCGATGCGATGATTCAGGAATTGAACACAAAAATTGACGCTCTAAAGAACAAAGAAGAAGAAGCCCGAGTTCAACTCGGCAGTGCAAAAGCTAATCTTGAAGCAGCTGCAGCACGTGAGAAAGAACTAGACATGAAATTCAGAAACAAAGATTCTGTACACAAGCAAGAGCTTGAGTCAACCTTGAAGAGGATACAAGAATTGGAAAGCAAAGTAGAGGAGAGGGGTGGCCTTCTCGGTGAAGTGGTCGACCGCAACAAGAAGATTGAGTCAGAACTACAAAAAGAGCAAACAAATCGTCTAAGGTTAGAAGCTGCATTTGCGGAAGAGCGAAATATACTAGAAGTGAATAGAAAGGATCTCGAAAAGGCACAAGAAGACCTCCGAAGAAATCAAAGGAACATCGAGTCAAAGATTAAGGAGGAACGCAGTCAAAAAGAAGAAGCACAATTATCGCTTAAAAAGTTGCAGACGTCGTGCAAGGAAAGCATGAGGACAAAAAGACTTGCGAATGATTTGGAACGGGAAAACAAGGAGTTAAAAGACAAGATTCGGCGCCAAGAAGAATATTTAAAGAGGAAGCTTCAGAAGGAAAAGGCACACCGATCACACATGACTCCAGCGAAAAGCCCCATTAGTCCTTTTCAGAGCTTTGCAAGAACTCCGCTCAAGAATATGACAAACAGTTCTTCTAAAGCTGCTCCTCCGTCTTCCGCATATTCAAGATCCAAATTACAACCACCTTCTGCCATTGGACGTAGCATTTCAACACGAATACCATCTACCAATACCAAACGGAGGTCGACCTCATCTGTGGCTAACAGCCGAGTCGGGATAAGTCCGAAAAGCATTCGGAGTGTGAGGACGACTGTGATTCAAACGCCTGTGAAGCAAGTATCGCCCTTATCTGCGCAAGATATTTTGCAATTCGAGCTAGACGACGATCATTCTGTTTCGTCTGACTTATCTGCAATCTTTCTGTAATCATAACTACTCGATTCTGCTGGATTATGGGAACTGGATTGGAGACGAGAATTATGCTATAGTACATTCGAAAAATATTTAATTTGTACAAACTTAAAAGGGGGATTTATCGATTGTAAAAAAATAGAAAAGAAACACACGAACATATTCTACTCTTGTATCGTCGGAGATCATTGACTTCATATTCTCCTACACTGATACAAAGATCAAACCTAGTGGAGCAGTGTCTAGTCATAGTTAATACTGTTTATGCTACTATGTATTGGAAGAAGACAATACTACAAAATGTGATTGTGCAACAAGGACGAGGACGAATTTCACAGTCATCAGCATAATGCGCGACATAGTGATAGTAAATAAGAACAATAATCAAAACCTTTACAATCAATAGAATCAACTGGGAAAATGGACTTGTGGGATTTCTGCTAGCACCCGTCGCTTTCAACTGTCTATCTGCTTTTTGAGCCGTTTGCACCACCTGGTGCAGCGGAAGTCGGCAGTGCCTCTATATTTGCTACTGTATCACTATGTAGTGCTATGCTGTCGCATTAGGGTGTTTAATACGCGCCAATGGTAGGCGCCCGATTTTGGTTTGCACCACGAAGTTTCTCACCACAGAACACACATCTGTTGCAACAGCAATTTTTGAATCGTACAAGCCGAGAGTCACATGTAAGTTTTTCATGATTACCATCGGTATTTTTTTTTAAAGGAAGGCCGAAATAAGTTTCGTGACGCAGAGCGTTACATCCACGTCCACCGCGCTTCCGTTGGGACACAGCTCAGTCGTGCTCTTTCTAAAGGGCATAAAGTTGGAATAATTATCAAACCAATGTGCCGTTTTCGACACTAGTGGTAACTCCATCGTAAGAGCATGTACCGGTACATAATTTTCCAACGGTTGCATTCATGGTTGAATGCTTGCCGAAATCTATGGCGATTTCGTCGGAAGGAAAGCCCCGAGCCAACCGATGCCACTCTCGATGGTATCATTCTATCTGGCACGCTTAATATCAAAAAAGATCAATTTTTTCTGAGATCGCATGAATACGACCCACTTTGAAAGTTCAGTTGTGTGTTCATCCACACGCGGCTTCCACTCATTTCATGGAATAATTTTTCGGAACAGGAGAGATCCGTTACTTTCATCAGAGATTCCACGATATACTAGTAGGCACGAACCACGAAAGCAGAAGCAAACGAAACAACACGATGATGGCGATAGACCATTCTCCGAACCGAAAGAGCAAGCATCACAACGGCAATCTTCGTCACAATTCTGGTCCCAACGAAGAGGAAATGGTGCCGGGCATGCTCATCTCACCGACAGGTTCCTGTTCTACAAACAGCTCTTCGGAAGAGAACAATGGTCGCTGGTCACAGAATCTGTATTCGTCGTCGTTGCGAATGCAAGAAAAGTTCGCCTCCGCTCTGAGCGCTAAGCGACGGACCTCCCGAGAAGAGAAACAAAAGAGCAACCTGCACAATGAACACCAACACCAACGCAACAATCATTACCAAGCGTCACAGATTTCTCGTTCTCAAAAGGAGGTCCAGAACGTAACGAACAGCAGCATCCTGATGGGAGCAGAAATCATCAAGCGGCAATTGAGTCAGGACAGTCCTGTCGGAGCTGCAAGATTCGATCATCGTGGTTCTTCCATAGCACGTCGCCGAGGTGGCGATGATTGGGTCAGGGACAGTGGGGGTGGAACACGCCTCGATAGAGACGACTGGGATCCCTGGAGGACCGATAGCAACGACGAGACCTGCAATGATCACAGCAATGGCACGGGGAACGAAAGAGGCGTCAAAAACGATGACTATGACGATACGTTGCGTGTTCTCCAGCAAGCACACTTCATCATCGACAAGTACAACAAACCCCGCTCTGAAGAACCGTCTCGTGCTCTTCCATCTCCTGCCACCAAGAAATCAGAGACGCAAAACGAAGACGCTACACGGACCACTCCGAGGAGCTACAACTGTCTGGTGCAGCGAGTCTCGGAAATGGACGATAGCACATTTGCCTCGTCTTCCATCGGCCAAGGTTACTTGCCAAAAAGCTTGATGCGTAATTTGACTTGCGGTCAATTGAATACTACTAGTGACGCTACCACCAAAGTTGAAATAAAAAATGAACGGGAAGACTTTGCGAATTGCAACCTAGATTTCCTTGCGAACTTGCACGTCGAAGAAAAAAACTTGAATTCCATCATGAAAAAATTTACGGAAAAGCAGCAACTGTTGCCCGATGAAAGCCAGTGCATAAATTATAATCCCGAAGCATCCAAGAAGGGACTTCCCACTGGAAACCCTTCAAGGGGCACACCCGGTACTTCTCGTTCACAACCTTGCCGTGTTACCGCTGCTGCTATACCATTTGAAAAGATGATTTCTCCACGCACGGCTATACATGATGAATTGATGGAAGATCCTGCTTACCGGCACGCTCTCAAAGCGGGTACTCTTTGGCAATCCTTGTGCAGTCAACATGTGCGGTTTCCTGCTCTATGGTGGGACGGCCAAGAGCCCATAGGTCCACCACTTGGTTCCACAAAGAAACGAAAGAAGCCTTGGTCTTATCTAGGTCGACACCGGGTTCAGGGAGATTATAAACTCAATTCTTTGATCGGCAACCGTGGGTCTTCGGGGCGTATCTTACTGCATTTGGTGGTCCGCGATGTTGTCTCCGGGGAGCCCATCGAAGACATTGCGTGTGGCTGTTACCATCCGAATGCTCGTGGGATTCGAACAACCCCGGACTTCAACCCTCGAATCGAGGACTGCAGAGACGTTTGGATCGCACACCGCCGTCGTGTTCTGACACGGAGCTTGCTTGATGCGGACTTTGACGACAACAGCCTATGTGACAGCGACAACGACGAATATTCGTGGACTACCATTGAATCCCTCCTCCGGCATCAGAACAAGGGCAAGGTCGATGCGAGCCCCCTGGGAGCTCAGGGTGGTAAATCCTGTGTCACAAACACGAACCTAAAGGCTGTCTTCGGATCCAAGCCTCCTGTGTACACTGTATTTGTTCCGGAGGGCGAACTATTTGAGCTTTTTCAGAACCGTTTGGATGGAAGCATCCCTGCATCCGTGGCTCTCTTGAGATACTATCTCCGATACCGAATCGGATAAGTACATAAATCAAGACCATAAGACGCGAGCGAAACGATTCAAAGAATTGAAGGAACTTTCTGGAATTTCCATATTTCCTTAGGGCAAGTCGATACATATATTCACTAATTGAATATAACGAGACATTGGGGAAAGGTTGCGTAAAAGACCGTGGAATATACAATTCATAACAAGAGTATGAGGTTCGTTTTAAAAAATCACTTGATGTGATAAAGTCAACAACTGAATTACGGGGAGAACGGTGGCACAGCGATCTTCGAAATACACAATTCACAACAAAACTTGCTTTTTTTTCTACCATTCGTGGCAAAGAAAACACTTACGCTTGTAATACTGTGAAGAAAAATAAAATAAAGGTATCTAATCATCAAATAATGAATAGTTTGTATTTCATATATTTTTCTACCGTAGCATCTGTCGATGAATTACAACCTATACCACAAAAGCCAATAGATTTGAATTATCCCAGTCGGCATTTCTATAGGACAATGTGTTCACTACCAAGTGCCGTGCGTATTGCACAATTTAAGTAAACCATCTAGAAAGAGAATCAATCATTTCCATTGTATGATTTTTTTGTCGCTTGACAACATTATGATTCGGTAGGATCAGACCCGCCAATTATTGATGGTAGTTGGCGCAGTAAGTAGTATACACCTGTCACACTACGCTTTGCTTTCCGAGAAGATGCTCTTTCCGGGAGACACAATTCCGATTCCTTCACATAGATCCAATAAGAGTTTCTAAATGCCTTTTCCAACAGAAAGGGCCATATGGATAGAGGTAGGCACCGAACATCAGTTTCACCTTCGATGATACTCCGCCCGGCATGATTTATTCGCAATGCGTATTCAACATCCGGATCATAGTCACCTTCATGAAATTTTCCAAGATTAATAATTGTGCTAAATGTTTTCAACAAGCTCAGCATTGCAGATTTTTCTCTGCGATCACTTCTTATCGTTTCCTCTATAGGATTACCGCGAAAACTCGCAGCAACGATCGAATTAGGAACAAACCTTATCCCGTCGTCTTTGTGAATTCGATTGACAACCGATTGGCAACTCTGAATTTTGTTGCGATAGAGGTTGAGATAATTCACGCTCGAAAAGCTCGGCAAAACGTCAATCAAGAGAGTTTCCAGTTGACGGTCATTCAATTTACTAGAATCTATTGTGAGGTATCTTAGTTTCTCTCGAAAGCGTACATTTGTTGTGCGAAGTCTTCCCAGAAAACTGTCTATTTCAGAATTTTGCAAACATCCGCATTGAACATTTTTTAACCGAGGCAGCTTAGTTGTCATCCATGTGAAAAAGGGCCGGGAAGAAAAACACTCGCACTCGATTATACCTATCCCTGTTACGTGCTGGAGTTCAACTCCGAACAATCCATATTCGTCGACACGGCCATGCTGCCAAAAAGGCTGTTGATTGAAATCGCATCTCAGAAACACTAAAATCTCTAAATTTGTCAAATGTTGAATGTCTATAGGGAGAGACCGACAGTTGACCACTGAAAGCTCCTCCAATTGATCGAGGTGGGCTATCTCGGATGGTAAATCAAAATTGTCTTCATCGTTTCTGCCATCGAAATAGATCATGCTGCCTCCTATACGCAACCTTTTAACTCGACCCTCGTCGTCCATTTGATAGAACCAAACTGGTGCGGTGTGTTTTGAGTGTTTTTCAAAGTCGATCCTAAGATTGTCTCGCAGATTGATGATTCCTATGGCTGCCAAGGCGGAAACCAAAGCAACTCCATCTGCCAAATCCATTTTGCTCGGCATGCACTTGATGGAAACCTCCATCATGGTTTGTCTAAGGTCCTCAGGAATTCCAGCTAGAAGTGCTAGTAATCGTTCCTCCCGGGGATCTATAACTCCAGTTTCTGCCCAGGTAGAAGCCAATTCACGCGCTGCTGCAAACTCCATTCTACCCGGCACGCAATTGACACAAAGACGCATCAGCTTTCTTCTCCTGTGGGCCCGATCGAAATAATCTATCAACCATTGTTTGTTAATATATGTATGAATAATTAGAGCAACTGACGCAAGGATCGCCGATGTCGCCGATGCGCTTCGAATCGAAGCACTGGTGATCATACACGGTGAAACCGACCTAGATGCGAGCTTCGACATACATTTTCCCATTTTGTATTCGTGCCATCTATACCCTAGTTGTGGGATTTCTGGATTGTGTGAATACTTTTGCGTAAATTCTTATTGTTACCCTGCTCATTCACCGTGGGCATTGGGTATTGTCCTTGCGACAAGCAGAATCGTGGAAGATCACTGAATCCATAACATCTGTTGAATTTTGTGACAAAGAAGATCGACACGATACTTTTGTGACTTTTTTATTCACGCATGAGATCACACATTCAATCGTGGCGATAAAATTCATATGGCCAATGATTTTGGCTCTGAAGCTCGACTGGCGCGGGAATGTTGATTCATTATTTTTGTAGTATTCTTACTGTAGTACCGGTACTGGTGCACAAGGTACGTAGTCGTATCCCACCAATTAGGGGACGGGTAAACTCATACCGTACAGCAGGAGCGCCAGATTATTTCTTATCGAGCACCTATTAGTTGGTTGTTTAGTCACACCGACACGAAAACGGATAGGGATTCGACAGACATTCTGTCACTTGTGATTAGAGTTCGTGAGTTGAATTTTCAACTTCCTCTGCAAACATGCCGTTTCCGCTCACAAGCAGTATCCAGAATACGGTGTAAGAAGTCAATCGAACGTCGCCAGTGACGTTGTCGAAGAGAGGATCTGTCGGAGAGACTCAATAGTTAACTGTCCCCTAAACACCGTTGCTCTAGCATTGCTGGAAGAATAAGATTTGAAAGTAACACCATGACCGTCGCTCCTGCAATTTTTCCAACGCATTCTGGTGATCGAGACGCAACGAATCCCACTATTGTACGACCGACCGAGGCTCAATTGAGGTATGCACAATTTCATCACAAACGGCGAGCCCAAGCCGTGAAGCACCGGATCGATCGGCTCCACCGAACGCCTCTCCAAGTGACTGTGGTCCTTGCACAAGAGCTGGAGGAAGACAACGATAACTATAGCAGCAGGAGTGACTTTAGTGGGACAGACACGAGTGACGTCGACTTGCGTGCCGTCCGACTTTTGCGTCCAAAAATCACGTCTGGACGCCGAGCACTGCTAAAGAAATCAAAGCGAAAATATCGTCGACGAAAGCGGGATATTGCAAAACACGGATACAGAGGTTGCTTTTTAGACGACAACGAGGATGATCAGCTGGAGCGAGGAGAAGCATCGGAGGGTGATGAATTCATTGACAAAGATTGGAACGACATTGACAAGGAAGAAAACGATGCTATGCAAGAGATATTCATGACACGGCCGAAACATCAACGGCGCAGGGCCCGGCGGCATCGAACACCAAGCGGTGGCAATGCCCAGAGTTACAAACGATTCCAAGCTGCGTGCCATGCCATGATGAGGAACATCCAAACCTCACAAACGAAGGCGGCCCTTCCAGCAATAGAGGTTCCGTCCAAGCGCTGGACACGGTCGGAAGAACACGTTGCTGCCGCGGCCGCCCAAACGACCGACTTTTATCGGTATCGAACCGGATTGAACGCTAGACGAATCAAGTCGGGCCGATCCGCTGCACTCTTGCTGAACTATGCATACTACCAACAAAACCAAAAGGACCATGATATGGATCGGGGTGCTACCTGGTTGACCCATTTGCCGGCAAAACAATCCAAGAGGGGCAGCAGCAGTTATTATTTTCACAATCTCGATGGACTTCCACCTCTGATATCCTCGGCAAACGATGAAGGAGAGGATGAACAATATTACGATGGCGATGGCAACGAATCCTCTATAACCTTATCCATGAGGCAACCGGGACCAGCAAAGTTTCATCGCCTTATGGCCTACGTGCAGCAACGACTCATCGAAAAAGAAAAAAAAGAAAAGGAACATGACGAAAACAACCACCAGCAAAAAATTTTAATGTTTGAAGGAATTCAAAATAAGAGCAGCAGTCCGGAAAAGAGTCGAACTAGAGAGATTATCGAATCCCTGGAACCGAAAAGCGAAAACACTAACAGGAGCACTCGGATTCGACAAATGGCTGAGTCTATAGAAGGAAAGTCGTCGAGGGGAACACCGACTATCACACTGAGAAGTGGTACACCGTTTTCTGGATTTTCCTCCCAAGGATCGCAACGAAATAGACGGGGCAAATCGCGGTATGTTCCGAGAGTGAGGCTTCGCGACTTTGTTGTCGAAGGAACTGACGAAGACGACAACGGCGAAAAACCAACACCTTTGCCCCCCAGGAAATTGTCGGAACGATTCCAACAAGAAGACGACGATGGCAGCAGTGATAAAAATGAATTGTTCTCACCTCCAAAAATAAGACTCCGAGACTCTTTCATTGGAAACGAAGAAAAGGACACGGAAACCAATAACCGGACTCGAGAAATTGCTCTTGCTTTTGAGGCTGATCAAGATAACGGTGTAGGGGGAAGCAAAGTCAATCAACTTCGAGAATCGTTGGAACCCAAAACTACGCCGAAAATAAAGCTAAAGAAAGATTTTTTCGGGAACGACACTGATGAAAAAAAGATAACCGAGCGAGAACCGTCTCATATTTCCCGATCAAACGTTGATCGGCTCTCCAGACAATTTCAAGGACAGCAAGAGCGACTTGAAGGCTTGGATAGTCCCTCGACTGAGGTGCTCAATGAATTTTCGTCGCACATAGATCCACGCATCTTTGAACAATTCCAGGATGAAGGGTCTAGTAAGCGTCAGTCGGCAGAAACAAATGTGACTGAATTCTTCGCTCGATTGCGCGGGGAACAGCAGCAGCAGCAGCAACAACAACAACAACAACGAGAGCAGCGTGCTGTTGATCTACCCATGGAGTCTGTCACCCAACCAGCCTCACCCGATAGAGACTTTGATGAAATATCGGAGATTTCGCGTGCATCAAATCTTTCAGGATTGTGGAGCAGAGGACGAAACAGTCTAAACACTATTACCTCTAATCTCAACACTATTGCCGAGAACCAAACAAACAAAGGCAAGGCGCTGCTGTCGCCTGAACTCATAGGGCGAGCAACCCATGTTTCTGGAAAAGTGAGTGGATTGTTGAACAAATTCAGAGGTGTACCCGAAGATAGTGAAGACGTTGACGAAATAGACGAGCAACACGAACACTTCAACGTGTCTCAGGATTCCATTCAGTTACAAAAGCAAAATATTGATTTGTCGACACCTCTAAAATTAGTTCATTCACCATCTGCAGATAGCCACGAGGCTCTTCGTGCTTATCGAATGAATCGGGCATCAATGTCGCCCGAAGAAACCGACAAAATGTCAGATGCATCATCGTTTCACGCTTTACCGGACCAGATTCGAATGGTTGTTCAGAACTCAGGAGAAAAGCCTCCGAAAAAATCTCTCCGTACTTCTACCACAGCACCGACCACAAGTCAAACCCAACCCCTACACAATGACCAGTACGAAAGCCCTATTCGTTCTACAATAACTCAATCTACGTTGTCGCAGTCCGAGTTATCTAACGAACAATACAAACGGGCGCATGGAAGGTTCATCAATAATTCAGCCTTGTTAGGAGGAGAATTTCAGCACGAAACCATTATTGACACCGACGGGACACAGAGCGATGCAAGTGGAACAGCCGATGTAAATCCGCAAACACTGGCGAGCTTAATGATGTCCCCCGATATGCTACAGAAGCGGCTGAAACAAGCGATCGCTTCTGTGGAAAAGAGAAAATGGGATCAAGTATTGTTTTTGATCAATGCGAATCCATGGCTTGCGGAGATGAAAGAATTGACAACAAATCAGTTTTTGTTGCACAAGCTTGCTTTCTTTGGCAAGGGAACTCCGTCTGCCCCCATGAGTCTAAGCGAGCAGCTTGTGGAGAAGTTTCCAGCAGCTGTTTACAAGTTCGATCAAGATGGGAACGTACCTCTTCATCTCGCAGCAGCTGCCGGCAATGTTCAGATGATCCAAATGCTTGGAGAGAAGTTTGAGAGCGGGGCATCAATTCGAAACGAAGATGGAATGCTGCCTCTTCATTATGCAATTGCGTCTTTTGCAGAATTTGATAGTGAACAAGTCGATGGAGTACATTCCCAGCCGTTGAGTGTGCTGAAGACATTGTTGAAACTATTCCCCAAAGCCGTTGCAATTGCAGACAATGACGGTAATCTACCACTCCACGTGGCTTCTGAGTGTCTGGAAGGTGGAATTGGAGTTGATGTTATCTTTTTGCTAATGGATGAGGCAGAGCGTCAACTTCAAGATCCCTACGGGGCTCGTTTTCGCAACAAAGTAAAAATAGAAGATCTTATGGACGATGATATGTCAGCTCGAACAATGTCAACGGCGAGGGATACGGATGTGTCGGCAATGGACAGTGAAATGCCGTGCACCGTGGTTCTCAATAACTTCAACGAGACTCCCCTTCTGGTAGCAATAAGATCACATAAGGGATGGGAAATGATAGAGGCACTTGTTAGTGGCCCTGGAGGACGCAAAGCTGCTTTGTGTCAAGACACGGACAAGAACAACGCGCTTCATTTGCTTGTTGGAGAATTTCAAGATGCCACAGCTGCAATGGTAAGTTAATCTTGAATTCACTGTTTCCAAACTTTAAACGGTTGTGATTTTGTTTTTTTTATCTACAGCTTGTTTGTGATTTATTCGAAAGCCGCTAATGTGTTTTTTTGTGGTGTCCACGATTACTACAGTCTATTCTTAAAGTCGTTCCAGAATCTGCATTGCAACGAAATGCCGCGGGAATCCTTCCTATTGAAATTGCATGCATGCAGCTGATGCCAGAGGAAGTTGTTCTCGCAATCGCCCTTGTTGATCTGCCCGTCAACATTGATGATAGGGATGGACTAAAGGTGATCAAAGATCGCGGTGAAAGCTGGATTTTTTTGACTTGCGATAGTGATGATCACATGGTCAATGTCGTTGAGGAGATTGTGTCGATCTGCTCCTTCCAACAACTTCAGGAACTGTGTTTCATGACAGAGCAAGGTTCGGAAAATGCAATAATCGATAGGGCCACTCCAAAATGTCGAGAAGCATTGAACCGTGCATTGCGATTTCTTGGACGATTTGAATTTGTGGGTGACGGGCCCCTATTCTCGGATATGCAAACTGGATTCAAGGCTTTCGATGCTCTGGATTTTGGTGACAGTGAAGCAGGGAAAAGAGTTCTTCTGGAATGCTACAAGAACGAGTTTGATTTTGAAAACAGGTGCTACACCATGTTCGAGGTGGAATTGGAGAGCAATTTCGTTGAAGAAGTCAATGTCTATGTGGAACATTTGGATGACGATAGCGCTTCGAAAACAACCTCGGAAGAGATACAACAACAACGATGCGTTGCCATCGAACGCCCCCGACTTACTTTGGACAAAGTTGTGGAGGGCATATCGAAAAATGGTGCCTATGAGAACAACAAACATTTACGGCTCAAATACTCCGCGAAACTGTGTAGCGTGTTACGGCTGATCGGAAAAGCCCTCCGCCACTTGCATTCGGCTGGTGTGGTGCACGGAAATGTCAGCTTGGAGACCTGTGGAAAGTTCGATGATTCTATGTGGAAGCTCTCGGAGCGATTAGACGTGCAGGCCATAGGAAAACCGTTCGACCCCACCCGATTTCGAAAATCTTTCCCTCCCGAGTCTCTCGAGTCGTTGCCGATCAACGATGGAGAACAACGAGATGGCATGGTGTTTGATTCCGACGGTCCCACGGTGACTTTTGTCACCGACATGTTGGCAGATCCTTCGATAGATATCTGGGCCTTTGGAAAAATTTGCTACGAGTGCTTGGTGGGCAAGCCCCTGATTGAATTCGACGCAAGTAACAGCGACAGTCCATCGGACGACGTGATAGCCTTGTTGCAAACCTCCGAATGGAATGAATCAAACATGGAAACAGTCTTTGACGATCTCGTGGAGTCCGGCATCGGCGAAAGCGGGGCCGATATGGTCACATCGTGCTTATTCCCGCAACCAGAGCAACGACCGGCCGACATGGACGAGATTCTAGACAATCCATTCTGGCAGGAGATTCGTCGCCATCGATCACCGAGAAAAGGTCGCGGGGGTCGAAAAGAAGGTAGTATCGAAAGCACCGTCAGCCTTTTCACAGACGTTGAGAAATATGAAGTTTGAAAAGTTCACTACTTACAAGTGAGAAAGGCTTCGAATCACAAAAAAGTCTTGATTGTACCGTACGATCATACAGTTTGGTGCGACTCGAACAACAGATATCTGGTACCAGGTAATGTGTAGGACTCGGTTTAAAATACTTGTTGATGCTGTTACTCGTGTGCATAGTTCTAGTTCCTGGATTCATCTTCTAAAAGAAAACATACCATCACCTAATGCTTTTCGCCTGGAACTTACAATACACAATACACCATTTGTGTAGATAATTATAAGTAGAAGATAGGAAAGGTATGAATCCATGTACGGTACGTTGGATTTTGGATTTTCCTCAAATGCATTTGAGCAAGATTTTTTCGGTTCCTATGCTCGACGTACGTAGACTACTACGAACGTACTTCTAGTACTTTTTGATGTTCGATGCGCTTCTACGGAGGTACGACTGACGACTTCGAGTACCCCCTTACGTACTTCCAGTACAAAACGGTACGAGTACGAGACAACCTAGACTTACTTTCAATGCTCTCTTGTCAAAGATCTTACCGTACGATCAAGTTCTACGTAGAGTATCGATTCGTACAGTAGAATTTTGAGCTAACGAACGAATTCGGACCTTTTCTTATTCTTTTGAATACAACATACTGTGATATCTCTTTGTTGTTCTGTCAGGTCCAGAGTCAACCATGCTGGTCCCTTTTAAATATCTTGTAAATCCCATTGCTATCCTCCTGCTTGCGGGAAGTGTTGCTTCAGCAACCATTCGTCGCAAGCAGAGTAGCATCGATAACCAAAACCAATCCGATAGCAAGCATGAACGTTGTTTGCTCCAATCGGATCATCCCGACCGAATGACCTCCTTCCCGGGTTGGGATCAGCCGTTGCCATCCGCGTGGTATTCAGGATGTAAGTAGAGTAGTTCCCGATGTGATACGATGGGTGGATCATCAAAAAACCTGCCGAGAATGCGTTATCTGAATCTCTGGTGGAATATTTCAATTCATTGGCACGACTGACTGATTCACTTTTGTCATACGCTGTTTCTCCATCATGCAATTCACCAGATCTTGATTACGAGTTGGAAGGTCAGATGATCCACACCCATTACGTATTGGTGCAAGCAGAGGACCATGAGGGGAACGACGATGAGCTTCCATTGATCTATTGGACGAACGGTGGACCCGGGGCCTCCTCGCTCTTTGGATTGCTGACAGAAATCGGACCACTCATGCTTTCGGACGAGAGCTTGAAGACAGATGCCTACAAAGAAACCGGCATTCCCACCCCAATCTACAATCCGTACACTTGGACTAGATTGGGTTCGATACTGATGATCGATCAACCGGCGCCTGTTGGATTTAGCTACTGCAACGACGACGATACGAAGAATGCAACTAGCCATTCGTGTGGTGGTATAGCATGGACGGACGAATTAACGTCCCTAAACGCATACACAGCGTTGCAAACCTTTTACAAAACAAAATTTCCCTGTTTGGCAAAAAAAGAATTGTATCTAACGGGAGAATCCTACGGGGGAATTTACATCCCGACGTTGGCACGACGAATTGTAGAAGGGAATGGAAAGGAGGACAATTCCACGATTCCATTGGATCTCAAAGGATTTGCCGTTGGAGACGGATGCTTGGGAACAGAGACAAGCATGTGCGGAGAATTAGGCTCGGTTGGGTTTGTTGACTATTGGCACTTGTGGTTCATGGCGGGACACCACCAAATTCCTCTGTCGGACTTTCGATTGGTCATGAAAGCTTGTGCCCACTCTGACAAGCCAGGATTTCTGACCACTCCAAATAGCAAGAACGACGAACTTTGCAGAGCAGCAGTATCGAAAGTGAAGAAGGAAATTGGTGGATTTTTTGAATACGCCCTCTACGATGAATGCACATATGAAAACGGATTGAAGTGGAAAAGGACGCTGGGATTGCTCGACAGCATGTCGACCAGTAGCAGTAGCAGCAAAGACAATAGTTTTGTAGGTGGTGCACTGAACGATTATCCCTGCGGAGCAGGGCCAGTTCTGGAGGCATATTTGAAATTGGGACCGGTCGTTTTTGATGCATTTCATGTGCGTTCAACCTTCTTCGAGGTCGACAACGCCGAGGGAGACTTCGATTATACTCCCACAGAACCCGACCTTCAACCCTTTTACAAAGAAATGAACGGGAAACTCAAGATCTTGGTCTACAATGGGGACACCGACCCGGCCATTACGAGTTTTGCCACGCAGAATTGGACCTCACACTTGGGTTTTGATGAAACCTTAGATGGGCATTGGCGCCCCTGGACGATCGACGGCTGTCAGAAAATGGGAGGATACGTTGAACGATACGAGGGTATGTTTGACTTTTTGACGATTCGTGGGGCAGGACACATGGTCCCCACCTACAAGCCGGAGGCAAGTTTTGCCTTTTTGAAGGCATGGTTGCGAGACGAAGACTATCCAACTTTCGATGCAAATTGCACCGATCCGGAATCGTTCTCTTCGGCGAAAAGTAACAGAGGCGCGGCTTCCAGTAGTTCGTTTGAGAACATCGAAATCGAGTAGCATCGGTGAATAACAACTAGTAGCCGTTAGATCAAAAAGTTGTCCTCTACGGATAGATGCAGGATCAATCTTCACCGTACGTAAACTTATTATATATTTTAGATTTAAATGGAGTATAAATGAATGATAGAACTCCTACTTCATGCATTTTTCTGGCACGTGATAAAGTATCAGGAATAGAACAAGTACTAATCTGAAAGCTCCAGCTGTCATCTCATAAAGAACTCTAGCTGCCAACTCGAGTAAATCGAAAAAGCTTCCCGAACCAACGTTTCACTTGCTTTTATACTTCAAAGATTCATTCAAATAAACCGTAGAAGATTGCGGAAGCAACTCCTCCGAATCCTAATCCTATAAAACCTCCCACAGCACCAAAAGACTGGAGCAGAGCGAAAGCGCTTCCTGCAGCAACATTTCCTATGGATGACTGGATGGATGCAGCAATGGACCCCCCCACAATACCTGTAGCGCCAAAACCAACAGCAGTTCCGACGACACCAGTGACGATGCTTGCGGCATTAGCCAATACCAAACTCATAATTGTTCTGTGAGAAACAAGTAGTGTGCACAAGTAAGAAGTAATTTCAATGATTATTTCAGTGTTGCAAAAAATGATTTTGCTTTTGTAGCGTGTGTAAAATATGATTGTAATAATATTATGAAAGGTTAGTATTATTTATTTCACCAGGTTTTTGTTACTGGGAGTGGAAATTTGAGAACTTCTTTTCGTAAAATATTTCAGAACTGTAGATTAGTACTGATACCGCAGAACAGGCTATTCGAATCAAAACAATTGATTATGATAACTGACCGGTATTTATTCTGTCAACGAAAGCGTTACGACTGTTTTATTTTCTTTGGAGAAGGATCTTTGTACCTCCAAGGTAGTATTAGCACTAGGAAAGGAATACCGCTAGACAAAGTATTCAACATCTCTAGGGTGGGCGAAGTACTACGGCGTCATACTATGTAAACGTATGAGTTGGCTTTTCTTCTTAGATTGTTATACAGTCCGTGAGCTACACTGATTGGAATCTTCTTTTTCGTTGGTTTTGGTTCGTGGAAATGATTAACTGCCAAGTCTTTTCTCTTGAAGAATTGCAGTTCCCAAAAAGGAGATCAATCTTTCTGGGTACTGATATCTTTTTCCAAAAGCAATCCTTGGTGCGCTATCATTTTGATACTTCCCTTCGCATGCTCTAGCTCTCACGAACACAATTTCTTGGCTGTGACGTCTTTCCACTTCTGTGAAACTACAACAATAAATCTATTGCTGTTTCAGAAATTATGTAGGCAAAACAAATGATTTGAAGCGATAGAAATGGAAAATATGTTGAAGTAGCGACGAGGTCTCTTGAAAGATAAAAAAGCTGTCATCGGCAGAATTGGATGTTAGCGTCAAAACTCCATTGCCTCAATACTATCGAATGCCCTAGACGAAAACGGAAGATCTCGGATGGCCCGAACGACGTCCGGTTCGTCTCGCTCGTTGTACGCGCCCAGCGCCATAACGACCGCGCCAGTCAGCAATTTCGGGCTGGGCCTGGCAAAGTATTGGTCCCCGTTTGCGGCGTACAGGTTCCCCTCGCGGTTGCTCCGGAGCCTGCCAAAGTGCTTCCCCGAGGAAGAAGCGTCGTCCAGATTTCGTTCCAGATCGAATCCGCAGCAGGCGACGAGGACCACGTCCGGATCGGCTCGTTCGATCTCGTCCCAGGTCACCCGCCTCGATCTCCCGTCCGGGTTGGGGTCGATCGCGAGCTCGGTTCCGATCAAGCGGGCCATGTCCGCTGCACCGCAGTAGGCATCCATCGATGGGGGTCAAAACAAGAAAGCAAGCGACCAAAGAAACAAAGAAAACGGGATGAGCTCGAAATCTCGCTGTTGGTTGTCGCTGCTGTTGGATAATGGCATTCGCAACACCGAAACACGAGCGCTGCTTGCGCCTCACTCACGTATCCAGTGCCCCCCACAAAAGGGCGGATCGACCCATTCCATCACGAGCACTTTTTTGTTCGCTTGTTCCGGTTTGCGGTGCTTTCGGACGGTGTCTCCCAGGAGGCGCAGGTTCGCTCGGAGCTCGTCGCAGAGTTCTTTTCCCCGGCGGGATATTCCGGCGGCGTCCGCCACCTGCTGCATGTTTTCGACCACGTCGCCCAGGTTCATCGGCGTCAGCAGGACGACCCTAGCGTCGATTCCGGCCTCTTTGAGTGCCCGAAAGACGGTCGCGGACGACGGCGCACAAACGTGGCACAGGTCTTGGGTGACGATCAGCGTTGGATCCGCTTTCTTTAGGAGTTCCTTGTTGATCGGGTACAGCGTGGGTATTTCTTCGGTGGTCAGCGAGCAGGCCGCCGGATCGCTGGCGTCGCGGGTGTTGGTCTCCATGGTTTCCACCGCCTTTTGGCCGTTCTCGACCACTTTTGCGTGGATGTCGCCCTGGGAGTTGGAAGAAGCGTGGACCTGGTCCTCCGTAACGACCAGTGCGGAGGAAGGAACGTCTCCGGCATCGCAGCAATGGGTGATTCCCACCACATTGTCACCGAGACCGAGGTGGACGCAAATGTCCGTCGCCGAGGGGATCAGGCTCACGATGCGGAGCGGGCGAGGCATTTCGTTGCCGGCGGTGCTGGATTCGGGCATGGTACAAAACGGGTCGGCGGGCAACGACACACGAATTGTGTATCGCACGGTGATGTGCGGATGGTTTGCCCGACGATTGTTCCCCGGTTGTCGAGGATGTTATTGGCTATCGGCACGAAAAAATCCTTCACGTGATGCAAGCAATATCCTAGTGATCTTATTGAGACATCTAAGACTCATATTCAATCACGTACCGTACCGTACGGTACCGCACGGTACTTACTGTAGCTGGTACGTACGAGTATGTACGTAGCCAGTAGAAGTACGAAGTACTGTACTTAGTTTCTTGGTGAATGCTCAATGCTCACAGAATCAAGAAGGGGAGGATGGAAAGGGGCCATTTGAGAAGCAAGAATAAAATTTGAAACTTCCCCCAATAGTAAGTAATCTAAAAGTCCAACCGTTCCGTCTTGCGGAGGATCGACACGATAGTAGTAGATAGTAGCTTACAACCAAAAAGAAGTACGTACACCCAGTAGGTAAATGTACACAGGTCCGGCATGCATAGATAGAATGTTGTCGTCACAAGTCTCTCAGAAAGCATTTCTTACTAGTACAACAGTCTTGGATAGAACAAAAGGTTGTTGCTAGCATATGTTACCGTGCGGCAAAGCGTCACCAAGAGAGAGAAGAATCCATGGCAGTGAAGCTCGTCGTCCGATTCCGGTCTGATCCTTCCCACATCCATCCTACAGAGAAAAAAAATTTTGGTCTTTGTGGTTCCTTTCTCTGTTTTGCGGTATGTGTTTTCTTTATTTTGTATTTTGTTAGTGGTTTCAAGTAGTGTTTTAATCATCTAGCGGTAATAGTAATTGTCGTTCGTTCGCTCGCTCGCTCGTTTCTATCTTTCATTCCTTTCTTCCATCTCGCTCGCAGGAATCAAACCGAATTGAATCGAATCGAATCGAATTCACGAAGGAACGAATGACTTATCGCCCGGCCCGGCTTCCTCGTCGCCGCCCGTTTCGATCGCCGCCGTTGCCGCCTGCTTTGTTGTTGTTGCTGTTGTTGTTGCTGTTGTTGTTGTTGTTGTTGTTGAATTTGTCTCCACCGCTGCCGCGTCCTCCTGCGGTCCTGTATCCGTTGGTATTGTTGCTGTTTTGGTTGTTTCCTCCGGCCTTGCGCCTCGCCCGTTGCTCCTGTGTTTTCTGGTCGACGTCCAGGACCCGTCCGTTCCATTCAAAGGGGGTTTCCTTGTGCTTTTTGAGGGCGGCCAGGACCGGGGCGACGGAGTCGTAGTCCACAAAGGCCAGGTTGCGGTGGTAGTTGACGTTGGTTCCCACGATTTTCGCTTTCGTCAGGGTGGCAAAGGGCTGGAACATGTTGATAATGTCCTGCTCCTTGACGCTGTCGCTGAGGTTCTTGATGACCAGGGTGTTGTCGGGATCCCGCTTGGTGCGCTGGTCCTTGCCGGTGGAGTTGTCCTTGACCTTGTTCGGTTTTTGGTCTTTCGCGGAGGCCGCGTTCGCGTTGTGTTTTGTGTTGGCGTTGGCGTTGGGGTTCGGCGTCCTGCTGCTTTTGTCCTTCTCCGGGCCCTTTTCTTCGGTTGCCCCTGCCGCAGACTCTCCGTTTTCTTTTGGCTTTCCGGCCTCCTTCTTGTCCGAGGGAGGAAGGGGTTGTTGCTTGGAAGATCCCTTGCCGGTGGCACCGGCCGCCGCCTTCTTTTCCTGGACGGCGCCACGGCTGGGGGTGTTGGGGGCGCTTCCCCCGGACACCACCAGGCTGGCCCAGGACCCGGGGGTCGGCTTGGAGGCCGCTGGTTGTTGCTTTTGCTGCTGCTGTTGCTGCTGCTTGCCACCCTTGTTCTTTTTTCCCTTTCCTTCCTTCGAGGACGAGCGCTTCTTGCCTCCGTCCGAGGGTGCCGCCTTCGGGGCTTCCTCCTCGTCCGGGGCCTCCTCCTTCGACTCCTCGACGCCCCCGCCGGGGGCGCTCGACTCGTCTCCCGTGCTGTCGCCCGCGGAACCCTCGGCTGCAGCCGCCTTTTCCTCGGCGGCCTCGGACTTCTTCTCCTCAACGACCAGGGCCGATCCGGGCTTCTCCGGGACCTCCTTCGGAGCACACACCGGGGCCTCCGGGACGGCCTCCGGGGAGGCAGAAGCCCCTCCGGCAACCGGCTCCCCGGACGGTCCCTCCTCCGGCACCGAGGCCAGGAAGCGGAGAATGTCGTTGAGGACGGCAAAGACGCGGCCGGTCTTGGCCAGGAAAAAGGTCTGGACGAACTTCCTGCGGCGCTCCGCCCCCGTGGTCTGCACCGTAAAAATGACCGAGGCCGTCACCACCAGCAGAATCCCCTCGTTGGCCGAGGGCTGGGCGTCGATGGCCCCGTCCTCGAACTCGAAGAGCATGGTCTCGTCCGAGGAACAGCCCCAGATTGTTGCCTTGTGGTCCGTCCCCGCCGGGGGGATGGGTCTGGTCGGTTCGGATCCCTCCCCGTGGCTCAGGTAGGCGTCCGAGGCCTGGGAGTAGAACTTCTCCAGGAGGTCCGGCTGGGAGCTCAGTGTTTTGTAGTATTGCTTGACAAAGGCAATCCCGATCTTGAAGGCGTCGGCGCCGCTTGCGGTAGTGCTGCTCATGGTGATTGGTGCGTTGCGTCGCGTAACGTTGCGTTGTTTGGTGTTGCGTGGTATGTGGTTGGAATGTATAGTCGATTCGATGCGATGCGATGCGATGCGATGCAATTCGATTCGATTCGATTTCTGCCACGAAAAAGATGCTAGTCTCGCTGCGCTCTCCGAAACAAACTTGGGACCGACTAACGGAAGAATGCAATTCAGAGATTACGGATCGATTCTCGTTCTCGATCTCGTTCTCGTTCCTAGATGGCCAAAAAGGGTTCCAAATCGAAATCCAATGATGGGCAAGGACAGAAGGATTCTATTCTTATACCTAAGCGGGCAAGAAGTCGGCTGTTCCGATGCAATACACAATGACGTGCGGTACAGGTTGCCAACAGGGATGCGTCTCGGTTGCAAGATGTGGGACCGAGTCGTACCAAGGACGACGCTGATACGGTATCGTACGGTACAAGGCAGGCTGTGCTGTGCTGTGAGCCGGGGAGACGATGGATGTGGTGTGCGGACGGGAGAGGGCTGCGGCAAATCGTACGGTAGGAGTTTACGCGATAAAAGGCTGGGTGGAGTGGGTTTTTCGTGCGGATGGTGCTCGTGCCCGCAGGGTTTGGTACCGTAGGATGCGGTACGATGCGATGCAGGTACACCTACACACGAAAGGCCCTCTAGCGGCATTGAAAGGACAACGGTGACCACCAACGCCGAGCCACGATGTGCATCGTTTGGATTCTACGGTACGGTACGCTAGCATCGAAATACGTAGCACTCTACAATAGAATTAGTACTAAAGTTACAGTGAATTGTCGTCCTTCCTTGTCTGTACCGTACCATCTGTACGGTACGGTACCGTACATTCCTGAACGGCACCGAACGAACAGCACCGATGCACTCTTTCTGTTCCGTAGTATGTACGGTACCGTACGGTAGGAGCCGTACGAGTCCCCCTATCGCACCGAACGGTTATTTTTTTTCCCTAGTGTCCGCCGCGAGGATACGAAACAGAAAGTGCCCCACGATGCTCTTGTACCGCCCTGTACGCATTCTACGGGACGAACAAGAACCGCACGTAGCGTACTGTACACGTCCCGTTCCAAACCCAGCACCATGCGATGCCCGGCGGCCAATGCCCCCCGCACGTGCGTGCGTGCCGTGCAATACTGCCCCGGGGTGCGTGCGAGACCGCCCGCTGATTTCGTCTGTCCGTGACCGGTATGCCCCCCCGGTCGGACCGGTGCGCAGACCCATCCGGCGCGAGAACCCCGCGGCCCGGCAGCCGCCGACGGGTTTCCCCTTTACTAAACTTCAACCCTAATGCAACACAACACCGTGGGAATCCCCGGGACGTCCCCCGAACCCCGTTCCGGGGGGGTCGGCCGGTCATTCCTGGTGAATGGTTGTTGTAACTCGTGGGTTTTCGTTTCGTTCATTTCTTCCCCATGGAATTCGGAATTGGACGAACGGAGCCATCGATGGGGCCCCAACCGTGAACGAAATCCAATCCGGTCCCGTAGAACGGCTCCCTTCAAACATGGCATGTGCCCTAACATCTACAGTAACATACAGTGCTTAGCAACATACGTACCTATGACCGTACGGTATGAATATGAAACAGAAAGCTACGAGCAACCAGCAAGCTGTGAGAGACTGCGCACGAGTTACGAATAGTTTGCGTGCAGTTAGTACTAAGGCCGAACTAGTTCCTCGAGAGAGAATCCGGCAAGATCCGAGTACGAGTATTCGTACCGGTATTTTAGACTCGGATGCCACAGCCGAATGGATGGATTCTGTTCGCACCGCATCCTACCGGCACTTTACGAATACATCACTGTTTTGAATACCAACAATTACTATCTGTGAGCCAACGGAGGCTATTCCACAAGCTGAGGATCCATCGAACTCCACGGTATTCTACCAAGCAGCGCACGCCGACAACGATATTGGTTCTGTTCTAGAAGGGCGTTCGATTTTCAACCAAGCGCGGAGCAATAGATCGGAAAGTACACAGTACACCGTGCACAAAACACAACAAGCAACTCCTGGGCCGTTCTCTTTCGCACATTACCTCGCAGCACGAGCGCAACGCCACTTTCCCCGTGGTCCCCGGATTTGGGTTGTTGCAGAGCGACGAAAAGCAACGCACGCGCACACAACAGACCTCGCTCACCGAAACGATGGCACGAATGATTCGGTCCTGCCGGATCCCCTCGGTTCTGCGGCGGATCTGCACGGACAACGTCATCCAGACGGCGCTCCTGGTCACCACCGACGGAGAGCTGCTCGGATCGACGGCCACGACCTTTCTGAGCCCCGACGGGACGACGAGGGAATCGATCGACTCCCTGGGGACGCTCATCGCCGACATTGCCGTGGACTACGGCCGGCTCGGAGAAGAGTACGCGAACCTGGATCCGGTCCCGCTTGCCCCCGTGGGGCCGGCGCAGCAGGCCCCCGGGGCGCCGGCGGGGGGTCCTTCCGCTCCCCCGGCCGGAGGGGTCCCGTCGTCGGTTTCCTCGACGCCGACGCCGAACCACACCGGCGGAAGCAAAAAGAGCCACCTGCAGTGCCTGCTGCTGGAGCTCGAGCTGGGGCTGGTGGCGGTATCGGCCTGCGCGGGGGTCGATTGCATGGTGATCGCCATTGCGGCGCCCTCGGCGCCGCTGGGGAGCGTCAGGGCCCGGCTCCAGGCCATTGCGGCGCACGTCCAGGAAGCCCTCGGCCCGCTGGCGACGGAGGCCATCACGACCTCCTACCGGTAGGACCGGTGGCCCGGGACGCATCCAGAGAGGCGGGGGAGTGGTCGGTTGGTTCCCGGTATTCTTCCTACAACGCATCCGACCGATCGGAGTTTCCTCCCGGCACGGTTGTGAGTTTTGCTCTAGGTGTACAACGGAAATTTTACGCAGCAGTAGTTAAGTATTTTTTACAAGTTTCAATGGCGTCAACCAGAACGTCAGCCCACGTGCTTGTCTTTTCGTTCCTTTTGTGTCTGCAATGCTGTAGTTGGTTGCGCTAGGGGAATGAGGCCCTTTTGAATTTGACACGATTTGCTCCCTTCCATCACCCCATGGATTTCCCGTTCTTCCTCTTTGGTGACGGCTCGGCTTCTAGTATGAAGCACCGGAGTTATGTCCCGTGTGGCATGGTGTAATCTTCGTTCAAAGCTCTGTTTCCGTTGTCTTATCAAACGGATCGGAGCTCTGGATAGTCGGCAACCACGTCCCGGATGCCAAGGGTTTCGCTTCGGGCTTCGGGAGTCCAGAGAATCTCCGCGCTCTGCAAGCAATCGCCTACTTTTGAATCCGCGGCAATCTTTTGGAGAGCCTGCTCCACATCGGAGATGCTGTTGATCTTGTTTAGCTTGGTGGAATCACCGTCGATGGCGAGGACAAGAGTCACAACGGCCATCGTGGCGTTATCCGTATTCCCGGCATTAGCACCCGAGCCCTGCAGCGACGGCGAAGAAGCCGCATAGTCGACGCCACCGTACTTGCTCACGGTTTCGTTTTCGAACTTGCTGCGCTCCTTGATTGATCGGTCTTGAAAGTCCCGCAGCGCCTTTTCACGATTTCGAAAGTGCTTTGTGGAAGAGCTCGCCGACACGATGGACGAGCGGCGACGGAGAATCTCCAGGGCGACCTGGCTCGATAGATTCTGGATCCCGATCCTGCTGTCGGTGCGAGCGGATTGGGAAAGACGGTTTAGGACGCTCAGAATCGAGTTGCGGTCGTCGCGGTCCGAGACCTCGAGCGCCACGCTGAGCTTGACCACCGAGGTACCGGGACCCAGCACACTCTCGGCCGATCTGGTGCCCCAATCGACCGAAGAGGAGGTCCAGGCATCGGTGGATACGGCGTTGTTCTGGCGGAAGATCGAGCTCACCGCAAATAGAAAGCCTCCAAAAAACAAGAGATCGAAAAAACTCGGGCCGCGCGAAACCGTCATGACCCCCGTTCCACCATAAACGCGGGGTCCGGCAAAGGGTGAAACATACGGAGAAAAGTAGGGAGTACTGTATCCGTATCCGTACGATCCGATGCCGATGCTCGGGGCAACCGTCACGCGGGGACGGGCAGAGTATCCGGGGCTCGAGTACGTCCGCATCTGTGCCGGCCTCGAGATGGTCTGGCGGGGTGCTGCGGAAAAAGACCCACCCATTCTGCCACCCGTAGCAGCTGCATCGGCTTCTGAAACGGGCATAAAGGCGAGTGCAAAGGCTAGCGCGGCCGCCACCGATTGCATGCCTCTCAGCTTCGCGTCGTTTGTGCCAGTGTCATTTTTTGTCGCATCAAGCTTCTCTCTTTCGTTTTTCAATATGGATACCAATGCAGGAGTTGGGTTCAACGATTTCTCATTTTCTTCATTTTCCATCAAGGATGCCAAGGCCGAAGTTTCTGTATCAAAAACATTCTCGACGGGCTCTCCTTGTGAGATTTCCGTCTTAGACATCATAATGGGGGGCGACTGGAAGACCCTCGAAATTGGTAAGTACTTGCTGGTAGAGGTTGCATCCATCGACTGTGTTCTCATTTGTGAAGAAATTACTGGAGAGAATGCATTGGTACCAGTGGTGATCGAGAGACACGCGACGGCTGCTACAGTTGATTTCATTTTTCTGTTCATTTTGAAGGTATCAAAATTAATGTTTCTTGTTGGTTCTTGTTGTTGTTCTTGGCCTGTCCTCTCTTTTGGAATCAACGGAAGTTTATTTTATGGGATGAGAGAAATGCATTATTGAACCGAAGAATAAGAAGTGGGTTCTGTTCACTCGTGCTCGTTGCTTTAAGATACCGTATTCTGAAAATCTCGTATCTAATGTACTGGGCTCGTACGTGCATTATCGTAGAGAGTCTTTCTTTCTTTGCTCAGACTTGCATCGACCGTATTCGAGTTCCGTGGAATTGTGTGCTACATACCGTACGTCAATATACGAAACTACCGTAGTAAATGCTTTTGCGTTGGTAGAATAGAAGGTTTACGTACCAGCCGTACAGTACGATAGGACAAAACTCAAAAAACCAAGTTTTTACTCGTGGCAATTTTTTTGATTTTGTGACTGAGTCAGTCTCTTTGTGATACACGACTGAAAAGTGTCAAAGTGTCAATAGTTCGATAGATACATACGTACCGTATGTAGTCACCTGTATGTAGTGTCTTACCACTTACCACCTACCCAAGACTAAATAGAGTTTGTACAGTCGTTTGTACGTAAGTGCCATACGGTACCTGGTACTTCCTACAGGGACGTAGTTTACTACATAGCGACTTTATGTAGGGTACGGAATATGTACAATTGTTTAGGGTCATACAGTACAGTAAGCAATAAAATGAATCGTACGTACGTTCTCGAGAAAAGAAACCCCGGATTATGGCACATGGCACAGTGCACTTGGCAATCTGCTGGCAGTGGAGCCCTCGATAGACAATGATTGAGGTCGTCAAATGAGCAGGAACACTAGAGGAATTGGACTACGGATCCTTGAATTGTTATTAGTTGCAAAAAAAACATGTGCAACTACTAAAAGACAATGATATTGAAGACACCAATACTTGGGAGAGCAAAGTAAATAACCAAATCGGATTTAGGAACAGATTAATAGGATAATATTCAATATTTGATATCTGCTGTTTGATACACCGTGACTATCGACTGACAGTTTTTCCCAATCAGGGATGAGATTTCCGATTAATAACTTGTCTGTATCATGAAAGAGAGAGACAAATTGGATAGAAAGATAGTGATAAGCTCAATATTGCCAGGAATAGCACAGCAAGCAAGCGTAGGGAGTCACAATACTCTCGTAATGAACAAATAAACCGATCCGAATTTACCCTAGGTAGTCCACTGGCTAAAGGGACAGGGCCTTTCAAGTGTCTGCATGTATCGATATGACGGGGAAAGAATAGTGTTCTTCACTTCGATTCGTTCATTGGATGAAAGTGATTTGAGGATTCCTTGGTTCCATCGATGTTCTTACCTTTGACTTGAACTAGTGATCATTTAAAGATGACAAGAAACTGAGGAGGTTCCCCGATTTCTGGTTAGTCGGATTAGATCCCGATTTCTTTCTCTTCTTTTTACGGCCACCTTTCTGTTCCAAAAGCGAAAGAGTAGATGAAGTTGCATTCGCACTTATCCTGGAAGTTTTGCTGGCCGATGCAATGCATGCAGAGGGATTTCGTTCGAGTTTTGGAACGAGTTCAAAGCTTTGACCTAGGTCATGCGGGCGCACGCACGCAGCAGCGGGCGCTTTTCCCGGTCCTTTCTGGCTCTGAGTTGCAACAGAACTTTGCAGTGCAGACTTGGCAAAGCCTGCATKGGCGTTTTCCAATTCTCGTCGCAAGCCCTTCAAGTATGTCTTGTGTTGACAATTGCCACATGTCAACACTAGATGGTTGCGATCCAATCGACTGATGCTTGAATCATCGCGCAAAATCACACCTATCTCAAGACCAGTCGACTCAACGGTGCTGCTGGGAGCAACCGCTAGAAACCGTCTCCTGTTGTGGTCCTTCGATCTCGATTCTTCGGCTCGAGTTGCCTTTCTTCGTCTCCGCTGCTCTCGCCGTCGAAGGGTCTTCTTGGCTGAGCTGGAGCATGGGATTTTTGGTCGTTGAATCCGAAGGGTGGTTCCTCCCCATCCGGGGTGTAGGCGAAAGCCACATCCCTGGCAACACAATAAAATACGCACAGGAGAATTTTCTGCGGAAGCATTGATGAATGCCGGTCTTGCATTTTGGCTGGCTTTCTCGCATTCGCCCGCTGATGTTGCGCCATCCTCATCCCATAGCCTGTCCAGTATTTTTTGCGAGACGCACCATGCAACTTCGTGGCGAAAGTCTTCAGTGATACCGAGTATGGTCCGGTGATATACAGCGGTTAATCGAGAAGAATTCGCTGCACAGAGTTCCATTCCATCACCTCTTGCCAACATTTTGCCATCATTGCGGAGAAAGCAAGGCTAATTTTTGGTGCACTGGTCCGTGCGCTTCATTTCACCAATTTCAACATATTTGATTGATACAAATGAATATTGTGAGGATGTGATAGTTTCGTGAAGGTCGTTCTCAACGGCGCACATGATAGATAGAACGTAAGAGTATCGTATGTAATCGTACTGCTATCATAAATCATAAACATCATCTTTCGTCAATTTGAATGGAAGGTGGAGAGGCTGTCCATCTTTTTTTCGAAAAGATACAATTGAAATGAATGGTCATTACGGAAGAATATCAAAATACGTACAACTGACAGAAGAATGGTACACGAGGCTGCTAGGGTCATATTTTGGTTGGGCGACAAGTATTTTAGAGAATTCTACTATTAACCTACCAGCAGCAGCAGTAGTAGTACTAGAAGTAGTAGTACTACTAGTTTGTAGTACTACTGGTAAGTAACAAAAACTTACACCTTAGCCATGAATCACTATGTTAATCTTGAGACCAACACAACAGCAAATTTATTACTAGTAGTATCTGAACAAAAATTTCCTTTGCTAGTAGCTACTACTACTACCTTACTACTGTCATTGGTGGTGCTGGACTTTAGTACTACTAGTACTACTACTACCCTCAACCACCACCATACATCTCATCATCATGCCATCTACTGGTGGTGGTGCTCCTGCTGGCATAACAACAAGGCATTCTAGTAATAGTAGTAGTAGTAGTACTAGTAGTAGTASTAGTAGTACTAGTAGTAGTAGTAGTAGTAGTAGTAGTAGTGCAACGGATACGTACGTATACGATACGTACGTATACGATACGAAGCTCCGAAGAAATGAATAAAGGATCATACCMTTCCTACGTACCTATCGTAAGGTACACTTCCTATGTATGTATCATAGGATCCATCATAAGAGGTCCGAGGATCGTAAGAGGTCCAAGATATCGAGAGTTAGAATATCTTACGAAGAACATAGACGTCACGAGTCCGGAATGGAAGAACCTCCATGTAGATTCCCTACYAGGTCTACACGAGGTTCTGATMAGAACTTCAGAATTACATGAATGCCTGCTCAATCTACCACCGGTGTCAGAAATGGAGAATCCAATCACAAATGCAAGCCTCTACACTTATCAACTCACAGACCCAGAGTATATATTCTCATGATATTGTTTATAGTGATGAGAGGGATATTAAAAGTTTAGTAGTAGTA